AACCGGGGTGTTAGATGGGAGGCCCCGTTCTTTCGAACCGAGTTTTTGGCGTCGCCCTGTCCGGCGAAACAGGGGGACAGTAATTTTCTGTCATTCTTTGGGCTTTCTTGAGCCAGGGGTTTTTTTTTTTTATTGGTTTTGTTTTTGGGAAGGAAGGCAAAGGTTTTTGTTGTGTTGATGAGGAGTTGGTAGGGGGAAGAGGGGGGGGGGGGGCATCCCATACCCCGCCCACCCCGCACGGCAGATTTTCTCCCTGATTTTCGATTTTCCTGCGTCACCCTGTTTTCTCTTTTTATTTAATTGCATTTTTTGATCGTGACTTGCGTGGTCGTCCTATGGGGAGGCGGCGTGTCTATCGGGATGGGATGAGTACACTCTTTTTTGTTTTATTGGCGCGTGTTTTGATTTTCTTGGTGCTACTCTCGGGGTGACTTGTTGTACAGATGGGGCCACCGGATGCACGTCGTGTACGTACGTAGAGAGCACCGACCAGTATGTGTATAGTATAGTCTTCTGGACGCGTCTATCTCAGATTGGATTGGTTATATGATAGATCGCTTTTTCACGTGCTGGTTGGTATCTACTGTTGTAGACTCGTGCTGGGGGCTTCGTTACTTGGGGCAGGGGGTGGCCCGGGGAAATGTAAAGGAAGGGCCGTGTGGGTGGTGGGGGACAAGCGCGAACGAATGAAGGGAAACGTTGTGCACTATTTTGGAAACGTTCTCCGGTGATCAACCGAGAGAGAACGAGAACCAGGAGGAGGGTACAACCGGCAGATGCAGGCGAGACGAAAAAGAGGGAGGAAAAGGGCGGAATGGAATATGTGGGGGGAGGGGGGGGCACAGCCCGGGAGAGCGGGGGCATAGAAGTAGAGCGTCGGTGAAGCTAAGAGCTGATTCCTATGGTGGAGTGAGATGCTGAAGGAGACGGGAGATGAGAGACAAGGGGCGCAGCAACCCGAGAGAGGGGGAGAGGCGCACAGCGAGAGAGATATTAGAAGAGAGAGAGAGAGAGAGGTATGCAGAGGGAGCCGGCAGGGCTAGTAGGCAGAGAGACAAAGCGAGTGCTGATGCTGCACAACAAGCCTTGCGCGCTCGAGTACGAGGGAAGAAGCTTGGGGGCTGTAGGCTTTGTAGTGGTATTGGTGGCGGTGGTGACCGCGTGTGGACCCCGTCCGTTGCTCATGAGATTGACGTTGTCGTTGCTCTTGCTGTGGTCGGTGCAGTAGGCCCCGCCGGACACGAAAAAAAGCTCTCAGATTTCGTTTGTGAGAGTGTTGGGGGGGCGGGGGGGGGGGCAGTTGTGGCGGAGCTGTCTGCCGTCAAACCTTTTGAGATGCTGAAGTGGCTTGTCTAGAGGTAGGTCCACGATGAAGACAGGCGGGCGAGAGTGGAGAGGGAGGGACGGAGGTTTCTTTGCAACTTTTGTGGAAAATGGCGATGCTGCTGTGCCGCTACCTCGCGTGGTGAGTTAGTTCATTGTGCTAATCCTTTGTACTCTCCGCACGCACACTGATTTTTCCTCTTTTTTGGCTGGTTTACCAGTAATAAAGCTGTCAGGGGTGCGAAGCGAGATACCTACGTGACTGCTTTCGGGGAAGCTTTCGGGGCGGGCGGGTGCCAGTCGAATCGGGGGCTGAAAATCGGGGTTACGTGTGTGTTGAGTGCGTGCGTTCTTCTTTGACTGTCATGGACCACGCCTACCGGCTGGCCAACTGAAATGAAAGTAAGGGCGTCAGCCTCACAGCGAGATATCATAAGCACTGCTGTTGTGTGTTTTTGGGTTCCTTTTTTTGTGATTCACGCTATGCACACGGTGTTATCACGATGTCGCAACTATCAGTGTAAAGTTTACTATTATTTTCGTTTTTTTGTCGTTTGTTTGTCGTGGCTATATATCTTTTCGTTCGACACTTTATGATCAATGGTTGCCCTATTATTCGCGTGTGAGGGTGGTTGGTGTGCGCAGGAATCGATGAGTTGGAGTGGAATGTTGGAGGGCAATTTGTTATCATTTTTGGATGTTCAGGAGGGGCGGGGGCAAAAAGTGCGGATAGTTGCTGTTTTGCTCACTTTATCGTGTACATCTGAAACTGTTGTTTGTGGACGTTTTCTGCACCACGTTGCTTCCAAAGTTTGGGTACGAGGGAGTCCAGTCCTTTTTTAAGTCCTCCTCAACCCGAAACTACATTGATACGTGTTCTTCGAAGCGACTTTCAATAAACAACAAGTGTTGTTGCACTTCCGATAAGCAAAGTGGTTTTGATCTTCAATAAGCACTTTCAATACAACACGCAAAGTGGTTTTTGATCTTCAATAAGCAACTTTCAGAGTAAGCAAAGAGTGGCTTTGATCTTCAATAAACATTTGTTTGTCGTTGGCAACAGCAGTAGTAGTGGTAAATAGTGCACTCGAGTCGGCGACTCTCTCGAAGATAGGAGTACACACCAATGTGATGCTTGAGAAGAACAAGACGCGACGAAGAATAGCAGGGAGCGAGTGAATCGGGGAGAAGGTGTACACGCGAATAAATTAGGGAGCATCTTTTGTGTGTGCGTGTGTTTGTTTGGCTGCTGCACGCTCGTTTGTTCTACTTGTACAATTTGTTGTATTGGATTAAGAGACGAGGACCAAAGGGCACTTGATTGACGACACGTACAATCACTTTCGAGCAAGCATGTCACCGTGTCTTCTCCTCCCTACCAACGACGCTGACACCTCCCTGCCAACGACCATGACACAACCCGCACCTCGAAGGTTTCGGCCGTTTTTTGTCGTGTGTTGTTGTTGGTGGAGAGTTGTTACGAATGACGATGACGCCCTTAGCTCTTTGGGTTGGGTTGTAGGGGCGAAAAATGACAACGGAAGAGCAGAGGAGGGCGTGTGAGAAGCCCGAAACAAACAAAAAATGATCGGGAGAGATGCGGCAGTGACCTCTTGTGTGAGTTCCGCATAGTGCCAAGGGATTTGCCGGTCTTACACCCGTCACCCCGCACTTATCAGAGCATGAGGCGACTTGAACAACCCATCTGTGAGACGCGATTTCACCAGCCGTATACATATAGGGCGACCCGGCCTTCTCTACTCTACGCGGCCGAATATACGTGTACCGCTACGGCAACCCAGTTTTGTTGATGGCCTTCCTTCTCCTGTCACCGGAGCTCACCGGAGATACAACCTACAAGTGACATATTAGCCGTTTCTAATGTTCTTGTCGTGAACCGAGGATGGAGAACGTTTTCAATCAAACGAAATTGTCGCGTGCGTTTGCAGGACGGGGATACATACTACTAGCAAACAGGAACACCAGAAAACTATATCCCGAACTAGCCATCCAAAACGACATAATGCAATGCCCGTGGAACTCTAAAACAAGGGCATGCGAAAGGCAGACACAGTAGTGCAGAGAGTACAACAGCTGTGACAACCCCCACATGCCTCGTAAAAGGCAAAATACAGACCAAACGAAACAAATATTCAAAGGCAACGCGCCGCAACTCCGCGCGCCAGGCACAGCCAGAGTCGGGGCACTTGCAATCTTCCATCAAGTGTACAGAAAGATGCAATGACGCGTGTTCTACAGGCAAAAGCTGACAAAATACTGGACTGACACAACGCCCGCAATGCCTCACCCGTGCAATTGTCTTCCAAGGCATTGATTCGTGAAACCTCTGCTAGAAAATAATTGTTGCTGCCGCAGGTTGCAAGCCCTGCAAAGGGACAAGAGCTTGCTTACGAGTGCGCCAACCCACTTGCGCATATACTGTAGGGGGACAACTCTACTGGGGGGAGGGGGGAGGGCATCACAACAACGCCGAGAGCCTGTTACCACCGATCGAAGCTGCTACCAATCGATCTCCTTCGGAGGTTTTTCAAAAAACCCTTCACTCGAAACACACCGCCACATACATCACACAAGCAACTTAACGATACCACACAAAAACCTTTCGTGTCAAGGCATACAGCAGTAGAGCGGTAGCTCGAAAGCTCCGCAGCCTACACAACGAGCTACCAATGGCACCGGGGGCGAAAAAAAAAACTAAAGTCCCCGTCACGACAACACGCGTTCAGTCCTCTACCTCCTCCCGCCTTCGTCACAGAACGGTAATCCCCGGGTGATGCGCTGTGGCAGAGGAAGACTCAACGTCGCCGCTTCCCCCGACCCCCGCCGTACCACCATCACCACCACCACCACCACCCGGAAACAGCTGCCCGCGGATGGCGGCGTCCAGACAGCCCAACCCGTTCCGGGCGTGAGAGCGGGTGACCTCGTCGCGGTCGCTCTCCGCCGCGCGCTTGAGGGCCCGATAGGCGACCCTTAGCTCCGCCGCCGGCACCATCTCCAGGACGTCGCCGCCGGCTCCCCGCAGGACCCGGCCCAGGAGGAAGGACGCCCCCCTCCTGGCGAGGGTCGATTCCTCGGAACCCCCCGTCTCCGTCGACAGGACGCCGGCGGCGAGGTCGACGACGTCGCAAGAGAAGCGCCCGAGGGACCAGCGGAGGAGCTGGCACACCTCGGCGAGGTTGGACAGGCAGCTGGCGCGGAAGTGGTACCGCTCCTTGCTCTCCAGCGAAGAAGACGACGACGGCTTCTGGTTGACCTGTGCTGCGGTGCCACCGTTGACGGCGGCGGAACCAGGGGATGAGGACCCGGCATCCCCTCCGTTGACGGCGGCGGAACCAAGGGATGCTGACCCAGCGTCCCCTCCTGGCCCGCCGCCGCCGCCGCCGCCGCCGCCGCCGCCGCCGCCGCCGCCGCCGCCGTTGCCGTCTGACGACCGTTCCCGCGCCGCCACCACGAACGCGTTGACGAACAGGTGCGCGTACTTGGGCATGGCATCCCCGCACCGCCGCGCGGAGAGAAGGACTGCCTCCCCTATCTTCAGGCGCTGGGACAATGGCAGCGGTGTCGCCGCTGCCGCCGCCGCCGCCGGCGACCGCCCCGAAGCCATGCCCGGGGCAGAGCCAGGGGCGGCGGCGGCGGCGGCGGCGGCGGTAAAGATGCCGACAAGACGAGGGATGGACCACCCGGGGAGCGCGTCGGCGAGGGCGGCGAGCCCCTGCACGGCCGCCAGGTAGACGTACGAGTCGCCGTCGCCGGCCATCCTCGCATACGTGTCCATCAGCCGCTCGGCCACGGCGGTGTCCATGTTCACCCTACCGCCGCCACCGCGGCCGCCGCTCGGGCCGCCGTCCAAGGTTGCTCGCATAAGCCTATGAATGGGTTCGACAGTATGGAACAAGTTGACAAAATCGGGGCGTTGCGGCTTCTCGTCGGCATTCTCCTGCATGACGAGCTCCAGCAGCAGCTCGAGTAGCACCGCACAGTAGAGGGACTGCACTCAACGAACACCACCACCCGCACACCCCAATGAGAGCAAACTGCGCCGCGCTTGGTGCATGGTAAAAACTTGATCCACAAATAGACCCGTGCGTAGTTCACGGTGCTTACCTTGTGAGCGTCACCACCCCCCTGGGCGCGCAACGGCACCGCTTCGCTCCTCAGGTCCTCCTCGGCGGCGTCTAGCGCTGACATCATCCTTGCCGCGCGCGCCTCCCCCTCCCCTTCCGCCTCGCCCCCGGCGCCGGCGCCGGCGCCGCCCTCGCCCACGCGCTCGACTCGCTCCCGCTCCTCCCGCCGCTCCTCGGGGGATAAGCCGCGGCTGAGGATGGAGGCGGACAGCAGAGCGGACATCTCCGCGACCTCGACACTGCGGTGCCCGGCGGCTAGGCCCTGGTTCGACCGGAGGGTGGGTAAACGTCGTGGTATGGTTGTCGTCGTTGTTGTTGCCGTCAGGTGTCCAGACATCGCCGTAGTAGTTGGCATCGTTACCGGTTGTGTGTGTCGAGGCACGAGCGAAGCGGCCGGGATTGTTTGGCAACAAAAACAGGGCGCGCGGCGGGGGGTGGTTGCGCGGGGAGGACTTGAGGGAAAGGTATCCCGCTGAGCGATGGGGAAACGTCGACGGTCTGCCGGTGGACACCGCAAATTTTGTCACGACACGCAGGGGACGCGGCGGAAGTACTTGGAATGCCGAAAGTGTCTAGCGCTTCGGCAAAACACACCCACCCACACTAGCGCCAAACAACGGCTGCTCTTGTCGCGCGAGACGCCTCCGTCGGTACGAAACCCACGACGAAACACAAATGCCACGGCAAACCGTACTTCTACAAGCAGTGGCAACATCGGGTACTCCTGGCGCACGTTCCTGTCACCACCGCCCTTGATCTTTGATTCCTATACCGCATACATATTTCGCTTGTGGCTATCGCACCTTGAGCGGTGCGAGCATGGCCCGTAGCTCCGCTTCCTCCTCCGCTTTCCGCTCCTCCTCTCCCAGCTCTAGGACCGTCGTCAACAGGGCAAGAACGACAGAGCAGAGCGTATCGTCGCTGTTGTCTCCGTCCCCGTCAGCTTCTTCCCCCGACGACCCCAGATCGAAAACGCCTTCAGCTGCTGCAACTCCTTCTTCTTCCATCTGAGCCACCCTTTCTGCGGCATCGACATACCCATCGCCACCGCCGCCGCCGGTCCGTCCCGCACCCGCCGTTACCGGCGGCTGCTCGTGCTCCAGCACCAGCCGAATACACGACAGCATCTGCATGCCCGTGCCGAAGACCCGAGCGCCCAATCTCTCGGCGAGGACTACCACAGAGGCCATCACCGCGTGCTGCTCTGCAGCCGCGGCAGCGGAGGCGGAAGGCTCCGATTGGTCAGTTCCTGCTTCAGCCGTCGATGCCACTCCGGAGACCACCGGGGTTCCGCCGCCATCCCTCAGAGACAGATATCGCCTGAGCAACATGTCGAAAACCTGCGCGAAAGCGTGTGGTACGTAGCAGGCACACGAACGCGACGTGTACGTGGTGGTGTAGGCCCGAAGCACGACATCGCAACGAAGGCGACGACGGTGTCGTTGTCGGGAGTAGTCCACACGAACAGGACAACGACTGAACGATCCCAATGTTGGTAGGAGATACAGTGACAACGGGAAACGGCAACAAGTTTGCCGTCAACGTCCAGGACAGACGCCATCCAAAACCCGCACGTGCTACCGCGCGAACCCAGCGAACAACGCGTATCAAACCAACAAACATGAAAAAAAAAAATTCAACACGTCCCCTTCGACTGTGGATAAATCTCGAACGCGTAGTCTATTCTGTGTCTGTATATTTGCCAAAAAACGCACACAGGGTCTCCCCAGCAGACACTCGCTACTCCCGTTACCGAAGACAACTCCCCCCCTCGTCCTCTTCTCCACACACCTTTCCAGCAACGGGAGAACCCTCGCCCAGCCCTTCCAGCAACTCGGCCGCCGCCCGGGCCCTCCCTTCCGCCTCTTTCAGCCCCGCCAGTGCCCCTACCAAGCCGGCTCCTGCCCCCCCCCCCGCCCCGGCCGCCGCGGCGGCGGACCCAACCAGCCTCAGCGTTTCCGGGTCAAGCCCCAGCCCTTCGAGCGCAGCCTCCATCCCCAGAAGGCTTCCGTCTGCTGCTGCCGCTGCTGCGTGGGGCTCCGTGGCGGTGGCACCCGAGCCCGCATCATCATCGACCAAGCCACCTCCCGCGGGCCCTCCTCCCGCCGCCGCCGGCGCTGCTGCTGCGGCGCGAAGCACGGTACCGCCTGTGGGTCCCGGGGAAAACCGTGGGGCCTTACCCCCGCCTCCCCACCCCGTTCTTTGGACCGGGAGGAGACCGGCGACCAAGTCCGAGGCGGCTGTGGCGGAGGAGGGGAGGAGGGCGGAGAGGCACGCCTTGGTGCTCTGGAGGTTGCGGGATTTCGCCCTGTTTGAGCGGCGGGGGGGTCGACGTTGAGTGCGCGCGAAAAGTGGGGGGGTCGGGCAAGGGCGTTGGTATCGATCGATTTCCTTCCGACATAAAGTGCGTACTGTAGACACATGCCTTTCGTGGTGCGCCTGCCGAGCGATGTCGATACTTTTTTATACCGTGGAACAACCCTAGGTGTGTTTTAACCGCACGGCATGTAAAATAACAGAGGCAACAGATCGCTGCTATGCGTGGTGCGAAGGGAGGATAGGGTCAAGCAAACACTTGGTCATCCTCACAACTCACGTCGCACAGAGGCAGTGCAGCCGGAACAGCGGCACGGTGACGCCCATCCCGGAAAGCAGACCCAGCAGCGACGCCGGGGCGGGCGCGGCGGTCAGCAGCTTCTCGAGGTCCTCCAAGCACCTCTCCAGCGCCACCTCGGACGACACAACATCATCCCCTCGAACACCGCCGCCGCCACCCTTTCCCCCGGCAGCAGCAGCAGCAGCAGCACTCCCCGTCGTTGCAGAAGCCAAAGCCCCCCGCGTACCCACGGGGGGGGATGCGGAGCCCCCTGGTTTCCCCGTTCGGGTCGTCGTCGTCGTGTGCCTCTTCGCCGCCGCTGCGGGTGATCGTGAGCCGGCGCCTTGGCGTTGCCCTGCCGCCGTGGGACCCCAGAAGAGCAGCAGCGGTCGCAACAGCGGGACGAGAATGAGTCGCCTCGTTTCCCCGGGCATCGACTCGGAAAGCCTCCCGACGATCATCGCGACGACCCTGACGGGCGGGGCAGGGGGGGTTGAGGGAGAGCGGCCAGGCGCACAGCATCAAGAGAGGACTGGGTCGGCCGTAAGCAGGGGGTCAGAAACGGAGAGCACATGTTTGGACTCAAGCTCAGAAGGGAGGCCGTTTTCTACTATTGGGTTGGTTGAACAGCGACGAGTGCAAGGGCAGCGCCCGCGTGCGTGCGTCTCTGGTTCCTGCATCCCACAATATTCACAGCCCTGAAACTGCCAAGAAACAGAGTTGCCTCGCTCTTCAAGAAACTAAACCTGCCGTTGGTGTACTCCTATTCTGCCCTGCCGATGCTGCACGGCCGTTTCTCACCTCGTCACGATCGCCCTCTGCTGCCCGTCGAAGTGGAGCATCTCCGCCAGCTGCGGCGCGACCCTCGACACGTAGACCCCCGACGCCACGCGCTTCGGGGGCGTCGCCAACAGCTTCGCCACGCGCAGGCACGCCTTCATCCCCTCCCCTTCGTCGTCGCCCCCTCCCCCCTCCCCTCCCGCTCCCGCCCCCGCCAGGTAAACCTCGAGGGTCGCCTGGACACCGCCGGGCCGCAGCACGATCTCGGACAGTATCCTGCCGGCCCGCTGGCGGAACCACGGAGGGGCCCGAGAGCCCTGCGAGAGGAGGTACCGGAGAGCCCCCATGACTTGCCTGGGGCCGGCGTCTTGGAGCATTGCTCGCAGGGGTGGCATCATCGAAAGGGGGCTGTGGGCTGCTGCTGCTGCAGTGTCGGTTTTCCTCTCACTCGTGACGGCTGCAGGAGGTGGGGACCGGCGGTGGCGGTCCCCTCCGGCTTGAGCGCCGTTCGGTGGCGGCGGCTCGCCGTCGGCGACGGTGGCGGTGGCGCCGGCACGCTCGTCGCCGTCGTTGTCCCGAACCGTGAGGGCTGAGGCCGGGGTGGCTGTTGCCGCCGCTGTTGCGGCTGTCGCTGCGGCCGTGGCGACGGCGGTGCGGCCGAACACGAGCTGCAGCCTCGCGGCGAGAAGGTCCGGCAGGTAGAGCGGCATCAGCATCGGCATGAACTGCCCGGACGTCACCACCCCCTGAACGACCTCCGTGCACAGCGCGAGCTGAGCGTACGCGTCCGCGCCACGCGCGGTTGCGTCTCCCTCGCCGCAGCAACCAGCCGGCTTTGCAGCGGGCCGGGTAGCAACAGGATCACCACAAGGAGAAGAGGCGTTCGGACGACGACGAGGGGGAGAAGGCCCGTCGCCGGTAACATGCCGCTTCTCTGCGCTCCAGTAGTGCAGGACTCTCCGGGAAATCTTGACCGCCCGGGACCGTGGCCGCTTGTCGGCCTCGAAAACGCCCACTCCGGCCTCGAGCACGGGGACCAGACCCCAGTGGACCACAACCTCCAGCGCCGCGTGGATGACGGTGTAGTCGCGCAGCGAGAGGAGGCCTTTTGGGGGCCGTGGAGGTGCTGCTGCTCGACTCTTTTCCTTCCTGCACACGTGTTGGTTGCAAGAAGCAGACCAAGACGTGACGGAAGGCGTGTTGCCGAAGCGTTAGCGTCAAGGGTTGGGGCGGCGGGGTTAGGGGTACATGGAGGACAGAAAGAGAGAGAACGAACGGGAGATACCGGGGGATAAAAAATGACGTGGAACCAGTAGACACGAGCAGGGGGAGGCACAAAACGGCGGGGGTACAACATATAGAAAGAGAAACTAAAAGCATGTCACGCATAACACACGGGGCAGCAGTTAATGCGCCCGTGCGAACGTGTAATTTGCCTCGAAAAGCTATAGTAGCCAGGCGAGTCACGAGGACGGTCATACCGTCGATAGGATTACTTTCGGAACATCTGTTTTGAGTAAGTGCGCCTTCATAGGAGTCTGTTTCAGGAGAGACGGGGGCACGTTGGGTACGGGAAGCGTGTGTGGAGGCCAAGCGAACAAACGACGAACAGACACGCAACATATCTGGGCGCGAAATAATAACCCGGAAGAGCTTCGTACCTAGCGGCTGTCCCTTCACCGCCTTTCGCTTCGCCTCCGGACGTCTGCTGTGCCTCTGCCACCGCCGCCGCCTGCTCAGCTTCCTCCTCCTCCTTCTGCTCCAAAGCTTGAAGCGCGCTTTCCTCGCGGTCCAGCACGCCCACGGTGCGGTACAGGTCTTGCAACAGCGGCAGCCACTTCGTCTTCAGGAAGGTCCATCTGATTTCGGGTTTGTTGGAGGGGCTGCTCTCAATTGGGCACGCCGCTGCTTTTATTCGTAAGCAACCGGGCTTTTTGCGTGCCATGCTGCTGCCTGGTCCGCTACCAACACGAACCATGCTAACGCGATGCCGAGGAAAAGGATACACGAGGGTGTCTCGTCGACCATCCATTGACTGCCATGGTAGCGTTGTGTGTGCTAGCATACCTGAGATCCTTTTCTGCCACGCTTGCCGTCTGTTGTTCTCCGAAACCCGCCTGGGCCTCGGCGCCTTGAGTGGCTTCGGAAGGAGCGGGCACGGCTATTCCTGCGAAAAATCGCGCCATCCACTCCTCATCCAACTGCTGCGGTAGGAGAGAGGGGCGCAAGGCAAGGGGTGTTCGCGACCAGATGGCGTGTGGGGCACGTAATTGCAGTTGCTTGTTGCCTGCTCCATACATCTGATGCAGACGTATAGCAGCTAGATAGCAACTACAGTAGCCCTCAAAGCATCGCATATCCTCAGATGAGTGCCTGAGGACGGGGAGCATAGAGGCCGTCGCTTGCTGTGGTGGTTTGTCTCCCGTTTGATTTTCTCCTCCAAGGCACATATCTCAACCAAATTGAGAGTCACGAAGAGTCAGCCTGATTCATTTCAACCTTTTGCGCCTGCATGTGGCAAGACAGCAGCAGCAGCAGTGGCTGGAAGTCTCTGGCCTGTATCATACGTCTGTCGGTATGCTGAACACTGCACAAGCTGTACACTTCACGGGACTGTCAACTTTGCTTCTTGCCTCGTTTGCGATCTTCTCCGAAGCAGACACCCGCTCCAGCTCGGCCACAGCTCTCCCGAGGCATCGCGTTATTTTACGAAGATGTCCCTCCATTTCTAGCACGGCGCCCAGCTGTTTCCAGCACGCGTGTGTGGTCAGGTGCGGCGGGATCAGATCAGTCGGATGCGGCGTGGTCGGCGGCGCCGTGGAGGAGATTCAGCGCCAGGGGGGGAGAAAGGCGCTTGCATTAGGCCGCATATCCTGATATCCTGATCCGTGATCCCTGCCCTGGCCAAGTGTCTGTGCTCTTCCTGGTCGCGCGATGAGTACGCAGCAGGCCCATGTTCCCCCTTTCGCTGTGTGCTATCTTAGCTTTATTTTTTTCGGCATGTCGATTTGCTTGCGCTTGCGGACACTACTACGACCTCAAAAAGGCTGACTCCATCCTCGAGATCTTTGATCATGGTGACGGAGTTCGTGCCGTTGATCCCATCATGACGATCAAAGAACGAGACCTTCGCGAAGCACTGGGCGAGTGCGTGAAAGGTGATCTACGTGGTTGGACTGCTTGCTCCATAGGCTTATTGTCGACTGCGGCTGTGTTGCTGCATGGCTCTCTGCGTAATCCTTACATTACTATATTCCCTACTACGGCCGTAGTCTATATCCAGCTACGAGTGGTGCTGCTGCATTGCAATCTTTATGAAGCATTTCGTTCCCCTTTCTCTCCACGAGAAAATGTGTTGCTGTGGGATCTGTGCGTCATGTAATCTCGGCAGGGGAGTATCACATGATGTTTCCAATACGGTAATACCATCACACATGGTGATGTGTATAATAGCAAGCAAATCCGGCTACTGTAGTAATGTCGTATCCACTCGTCGACCGTCATCCGAACCACTGTGCGGTACACAGCTGTCAGGTCAGACAGGTTGAACCACGGGCACAGCCAGAAGCTTCTCGACCTACTCCAGCTAGTGACAGATGATCACCAACGCCTGGCGTTGTTTGAAATCGTCAAGGGGGCTTTACTGGACGAGGGGGGAGAAAACGCACCGATGAGAGAAGCAGCTGGTCTCCTTAGCGCCAACCTTGGCGAGGCCATGGATAGGACAGGTAAGCACACGACGGATCCGTTCGTCCAAGAGGCATTCTTTCGGCACAGCGTTCGAATTTTCCCCGAAAATCCAGTCGCCCTTCGGTCTCTTGGGTACAAGTTCGAGCAGAGCGGCCAGGAGCTGCGAGCAATGAAGCTCTACCGCGAGGGCTTGGCGCGAAACCCCGAACGGCTGGACCTGCGGCTGCTGCTCGCGTCTTCTTGCTCTCCTTTTCTGGACGACACTCCCCATCTAGGGGACATGAGGCAAGGTGAAAGAGAAGGCGAAGGTGGGTGTAGCTTTACACAGCGCAGGACGGATATCTACTTCTTTAAGCACCAGCTGAATTCAAACTCTGTAGGCAAACCGCCAATACGGGGTATTTATCTATCACAAGCCGTGTGACAGGCGGTAATAAGCGCTACAGCTTTGGCGGAGGCAAGAAGACTGAATCATGTTCAGGTAACACACGATATATGTTTACAAACATATCGCCTCATCAACCTTTCAGGAATGCAGGAGACGTTCTGGTTGCGTAGGTTCCTTTGTGCCTCAAGCTTCGGAATTATTGCCGTGATGCAAACGCAGGTTTTCGCGGGTGTCTGCCGAGACTCGACGCCTCGTGGAACACATTCAGACGTCCGATGCGCCGCTCCGCAACGTACCCAACCCCGGGCGAGACCTGATACATATACCTAGCTTTTCCTGGCCGTACCTGGGGCGCAACATGCGCCCCCTGATGGAGAGCTTGTGCTGGATCCTTGCGGCGATGACGGTGGGGCTGCACGAAGCGATCGCACGACTGCAGCCACGAAATGCGTGGGACAACAGCACCTCTTCTGGAAGACAAGGAACGAGGGGGGCGTTTGGTGAAGGGGAACAGCCACAGATCAGCCTTACCCCGCCTCCCAGCATAGCGACGAAAGATGTCAGAATCACCGTGGGATTCGTGATGGAGAGGTGGGGCAATCGCTCGCCACACCGCCTCATCCAGGGAGTCTTGGAGGGCATGGACCGCTCCAGGTTTCGGCTCGTGGTGTTCTCGCAAGACTACACGGGTTACTACTGCGAAGCCGGGAAGGCTTTGCTGGAAGCTGCCGAGGAGGTTAAGATCTTCCCGTGGCACCCGTTTGCGGAAGGCCTCACAGACCCTTTCGCTGATCGGGGAGTCATCGCGTCGGTCCAGGTGCGTTCTGTATGATGATACGACGTGCAGCAGTATCGATGGCACCAAGCGGATACCCCACGACGCTTGTACTCTGCCTTCCTGGCGGTTTTTTCTTTCCCACCTTCTCACGAAATTGTAGCACTTCAATAGCACCTACAACAGTTCATCGTTGAGCTTTTCCGTTAAGGTGGCCTTGAGCGTGGCACTTCCTGTGTATCGCGTCGATCCAGGTAGATGTCCTACTCTACGCTTCCTTGGGAAACACGCTGTGGAGCCACTTGTGGCGCTAGGCCGGCTGGCGCCGGTACAGGTATGAAACGATTCGCGCTGGAAGAATGTATGTTGAATTACGTACGCAGAAACACCCGGCAAATGTTTTGGCAGGCCGGGAGCCCTCGAGCACGTTGGTATTTTTTTCGACGAGTGAACACTTGGAACTTTCTTTGGACAAGTGGGACCGTTGTTTTCGCAGTCACGTTTGACGGCTTCGTCGGGGCGGTGAATGTAGTCGCATGACCCCGTCTGTGTATCTGCCGTGCTGTTGGTGCGTCTCGGCGTGCTTCTGCGGATCCGTTCCATTACTCTCGATGCTTTTTCCTTGCGCTTCCTCGGGTTGAAACGAAGGTTGTCTTCGGGCACGGCCATCCTGTGACATCGGGCTCTCCCGGGATCGACTACTTCGTGAGCAGCGACCTCTTTGAGACGACGGCGAGCATCGACGCTCGAGAGCTCCGCAGAATCGCCGGCACCCCGAGCGACCTATCATTGGCCACTACCGCCGTCACCCCCCACGCTGGCGCCGAAGGTTGTGACGATGATGATAGCGTTCACAGCCCCACTGCAGGTGGTACATGCCGAGCAGACCCCCTACTCTCCGATGACGACCAGCCTCATCACTACCAGAACCTTCCGCGTAACACAACGCATCAGACGCTGGCGGAAGAGAAGCAAAACCTAGAACCGTAGAAAGGCCGCGGCGGCGAGGGGGAGCAAGGACTACACGGAGCAGCTCGTTCTTTTCGACTCATTGACCGCGTCGTTGCCGGAGGTTTTCGGCCCCGTAAACGCCCCCTCTAGTGCGGTGGCTGCTGTTGCCGCGGCCGCAGCATCGTCAAGACCACGGGCCGAAACATCCCTCGTAGAAGGGGATCACTTGTACCACTGCATCCAGCACTCGAAGAATTTTCACCCCGATTTCGATCAGGTGATGAAGGGGGTGCTCCAGCGCGATCCGGCAGCGAAGATTCTCCTTAACGGCCGGCAGCGAGGCAAGTTTTTGGTGAATACTTCTAGCCTCTCTCTTCTCGATGAAGTAGTTCCCGCACTAAGCAAAGGGCGTTGATCTTCGCGAAAAGGATAGTGGTTTTCTTCGCCGTGGTCAGCCCGATAGTAAACCACCTCGCTTTGCCCATTCGTTCTGTAGTGATTGTGCCTGGTAACCCGATACCTGTGAACAGCTTTAGCGCGGGGATTTTGTCCTTCACATGAGGGCGTCCTTCTACCTCATTCAAGAGTTTCGATTGACGCGCGTCTTCTTCCCAGGTGCACGTGCCCCGCTGGGGACGCACCCTCGGGTCAGATCTCGTCGAACGCCTCGTGCTCCTGCCCCACCTCCCCCACGCGGAGATGCTGTTGGTCGGAGCCAACTACAAGGTCATGCTCGATACTTTTCCGCGGGGGGGGAGGGGTGACCTCGCTGGAGGCGTTGTTGGTAGGGGTCCCAGTGGTTACACTGCCCGCTCGGATATCCGTCGTGCCGCTGGCTGCTGGCCAGGTACTGGTCGCGATCCGTCGTGGGATGCTACATCTCGTTTTTTTTCGGGGTTCCCGGCTTCTTGGCAGCATCGACGGAAAGGGCCAATAAATATTGTACTACCCGCGCTGAGTGAAACTCCAACACATCGCCAGCGCCTCAGACCCTCCAATTAAATCGCCGGACTACAGTACATGCAGGTAGCGAGTTAGTCGAAAACTGTACTAAATGTGTGATTTAACCCCCCCATGCTGCCGGAGACATGGAACTAAGAAGGAACGCGCTGTTCAGTTAGACCCTACTTTTTTCGATAATTAAATTTACACATCAACCATGCCATCTCCAATTTGGTTTCCAGGCACACTTCGTTCAGGTGGCCGAGTTGGGCGTCGGCGAGGAGCTATTAGTGGCGTCCGATGTCGAAGACATGGTGAAGAAGGCGGTCAAGCTGGTCACAGACTCAACGCGCAGAGAAAAAGTCTCCGCCGCGATCCTCGGACAGAAAAGCCGGTTATCCGACCCCCATCGCGCCACAAGGGAGTGGGAACAGTTTCTGGAACGAACTGTACGATCAGCTATTTCCCCTGATGCCAAGATTTAGTTCGTCCTTCCGGATGAAGGCATAGATGTGTTGAGGCTACTCTATCCTGGAGCACGGTCAATGGTGACTGCAATACCCAAGAAGGCTTTGCTTGGTCTTTCAAGTCGTACGGGTTCCGCTAGGGGGACACATTTAGTTTTTTAGCCCGCTACATCGTATTCTCACGACGAATATGCATCCATGCCAGTTTTCCTTGAGTGTGTAGTATGGGAGATTGGTTATCGCGGACGGCCATGACCCATCCCAGTCGAATGCGGGTGTTTCGTTGATGCACGGCTGACACCATGAGGCTGTAGATGTTTTCCACCTTGTGTTTCACGTTGCACAAAAGTCTAGCGAAGACTGCGAAAAGGCTGCCCACATGCGCTTGATCAAACTTACCAGAAGAGCGGGTGGTATCGAAAATGACAAACCTCGGCCCACGATTTACACTTGCTCCTGTGGTGTCGACCAACCTTCGCCCCTAGGACCTAGCAAGTCCCACGTCACATTTCCCGTCCATTGGTTGGCGAAAAAATGAGCCTGGTGCTCTTCGCTCCACGCGCGCAGCCACCCTCTGCTTTCCGCCACGGCGTCCGGCGGTAGTACCCAGCTGCTTTCACCGGTCTCCTCGTTTACGAAGTAGGGCTGGTTGTTGGTGTCATCACCATCGTGGGGAGAGTACGAACACCACTGCACCCACAAAGGTAGCCGTGTCAGCGCGGGGTCGTACGCCTCGGCGACTGCCGATTCATCGTGAGACCGGGTACCGCCCTCGACTGCACCCAACCCGTTCTGATCCGTGTCCTGATGAGAATCACGTAGATACGATGGTTGTTCCTCTGTGTCGAAAACGTCGTTGCCGTCAGGTTGGTTGCCCTTTCCGGCGGTTGTGGTATTCTGGGTGGATTCCGACACCACAGCAGCAGCGTTTGCACGCAAGCATCTTTGCTGCTCTTCCCCCGACGCAAGATGAAGAACACGACCGTCCGCCCTCGCATCACCGTCGATGGGCTCGACTGCACACTCTTGGCCGGCGCCTGCCTGAGAAAACGAGGGTGCAGAACGTCGTGTTGCGTGTTCTTCTTGAGCGTCGAAGAATCCGTGAAGGTCGTCGTTGCCATTGATGTCGTCTTTGCTGTACTCATCGCCGCAGGTGTTTGGCAGCTGTTGGACAGCTTGGCGATCGAGCATGGGGAACGAATAGGGGAGCCCCGCGAGCAGCTGCTGCCCGTCCCAGGCAAGAACCTCGTCCACCTGGTTGACGGTGTTATTAAGGGCATCCCTATCCCGATCGCGTTCTACTTCGCTCGAGGACCACTCCGGCGCTGCTGCGCCTATTGCAAGCCCCTGTTGCCAAGAAGAAAACGTCGTCGATTCTTCGGAAGCGCTGGTTCTGTCGTAGGTGTAGTCTTGGACGACCAATGATGCGATATCACCATCTGCGCCGTCCGTTGCTGCTCGATGTTCAACCACGGGCGTCGTCCACGTCGGCGAGCTGGGAGAGTCAACAAGCCAGTGCGAAGCACCATCCTTGTCGATCGTGAAAAAAGCTTCCCGCTGGGGGTCCCACACGGGACTTGGAAATCCGTTCAGCCTTTCACCTCGTTCGATGGCAGTTGAAGGCGCCGGTGCATTCCATGATAATTCTCCGCTGTTCGAGTCCCAGTAGTAGATGGATTCTGACGCGGCGTCCCAGCACGCGATCCAAGCTCCATGGCGACGGTACGGATTGTCAGCGGCTGCTTCAGCAGCGGCGTTGGTATCCTTGCTGGCCGGGGTTGATGGCTCAAGCGTAGAGTCTATGTTCCCATGGATCCTCTCTGGCAACCGCACTGCTTCCACGCCATCGCCACCCCTCGGGGTATGAAAAAGGTGCAAATCGGCGTCATCTGATGACAGCAACGTCGTTCCGCTTTCTCCAACTCCGACCTGGACGCCCAGGTCCTCTTTTGCTCCCTGCCGTCGATGGGGACTTTGCAGTGGAGCGACATCGACATGTTCGTCTTCTCCGTCGCGCTCGAGGTGCTGTGGTGGAGTCCCCCGAGCAAGATCCTGGGCCGTGGCTATGCTCGATGTATCTGCCAGGCCCGACGGCCGCCAAGTTCTTCTACTACGGAAGGTTCGACTGTCAGCTGTATCAACGCACCAACCACCATCCCAGCGCCCATTCCTATCGCCAGTTTGGCTCTCGCCGACCCCTCCGCCTCCTAGCTCGCTCGTTGTAACAAAATGTCTATCCCTATCAAACGTCTGTGTGGCTCTTGGTTGGCCGCGGCCCAGCCACCTGCCGTCCTCTGCCAATTTTCCCACCCCCCTTGTCTCGTCAGTGTTCACAAGCTGTTCTACACCGCCGTATCCCCCTCTCCCTACCGTGCCGACCGCCGATATCACGTCTGGGCTGCTTTTCTTTCCCCCAAGGTCAGCTCTAGCCGCGTTCTCGAAGAACCTTTCCCATACTGCCATGATTCGCTGAAAATCTACAGTACCTCCTTCGACATTTCGCCCCAAATACGACAGTTTTCCGCCATTGGAACGTGGTTGGTGCCGTCGTCTGTCTCCGTCCAGGAGTGCCAACACAATGCCGTCATCGCCCGAGAGCGCTGCCGCCAGGTCAAGGGGAGTCTCGCCCTTGGCGTTAGCTTCTCGCAGGATATCGCTGGTCCCTTCGGCGAAGGAAAGAAGAACCTCAACGCACACGCCGTGTCTTTTTTCATCCAGTCCAGCGGGGTTGGTGTCCAGACGCGACAAGCGAAACCACCAGCAAAAGTGTTGATTTTAGCGGGGGACATGTTCAAGTCAAGGCAGGAAACAGGAGTGGTTGACTCTTGTCCACCGAGCAGGAGTTAGCACGTGCAATCACTTCATCGTTCGTTCGCTATGGGTGGGGTTGTACGCGGAGGTGGGAGCCCTGTTCGCAGAGAGACAGCAACGAACAGCCAGCTACTTCGGAGCTCGATTGTGAGGGACGGTCGATCACCTTGCGCGAACCGCGAAGTGGAGAGGGGTGTCGCCGGCTGTTCTGTCACGAGACAGGACGGTGCTCCCTGCTACCACGCACAGGAACGACACGCACCGCGCGGCCCCCGATCCGGGGAATAGGCATGCGTGGTGGAGAGGCGTGCGGCCGCTGTGATCTCTTGTCCTGGGGGACAATCCCGCTGATAGCAGGAGCTCGATACTTTCTACTGCTCCCACACCAGCGGCCGTGTGCATTGGGAAGTACCCTCTTCGCTTTAGCTGCTTGTTCAGTTGAACGCATCGAGGAAGGACACGGGCAAGAACAGCGGCAGCGAACAACGACAGCGCTTGCAAACGTCCCGGGCAACGAGGCAGCCTATGATAGGTGTTGTTTGTTTACACCAACATTCGAATCCTTGTTGTTGAGGTTGGAACTCTCCGATAGACAAATAGTTGTTCGTCTACAGTGTTTGGAAGCTTACAGAAACGCAGGCCGAGCTTACCACCACCACCCCATGGCGTGCTAGTCCGTTTGTTGCTGTTGCTTGTGTCACGTGGTTGTGCGCCGTTTGAGTTTGCGGCCTCAAAGATCTATTCCTATCTGGACTCATCCCCGAATGATGAAGTTCCTCATACAAAGCATGAGATTATATTCTACGTAGAAGATTACGTAGCAAATGAAGTGAACCCTGGCAAATAACGTGAGCCCAATAGATGAAGTATGAGTCTGACAGCGACGCTCAACGTACACGAAATAAACAGACAATATCGTGTCCAATGGCAAGAAAAATCGTGTACCGAAGATTGGACAGAATCAAAGGCAATCTTCGAAGACAAAGGGGGTGATTGGGTTATTGTTGTATAGGGGTATGGACTTTTGAGTGCCACCTACGTTGCGTTTCGGACTGGGGTTCATCATTCCCTGAAGAAGTAGCTCTATGCAATCCAGATGCTCCCGACCGCTGGCCTCGATCAACAACGCTCCAAGAACACCTAAGTTCACGCGTTCTTCTTGATGGTCGCTAGAACAACGGGCGGGTTGGAGCAAGGGTAAGGAAACTCGGCGCGTGAAATGACGCGCCGATGGAGAGAAACACCGCTTTTTATTGCACGAATGTCACTTCTTGTGTGTAGCTGAAATCAGATGCTATCGCTCGTTAGCAGCCCTGCGTGTGTATAACAAATCAGGCTACTGTCTGCTTTGAAGTATATTGCTGTCGAGGGTACATTCTACTGCGCTGACATCTTTCTCAAACCAATGACAGGTGATATCTATGTACATCATCTCCGGTATACCAGCGGGCTGGTGATGGTCCAGGTCAACAACTACAACGCCTAATTTGCGCGCGTTGCATGGCCCCCGAATGTAGCTGATGATTGTCTACGATTGTCTACCAGTTCGACTACAATGGTCTAAATAGTACAACTCTAGTCCAATACAACTAATTACTCGATATGATAGAGTCGTCTACAGCAATAAGTGCGCGGGCTGCTACGCCGTAGCTTGTACATTTATGTAGTCTCCCTCCACAAAGTACGTACGTGTGGCGTGTGATTTCTTTCCGAACTTGTTCGCACCGATTTGACGACGAGCGAAGGAGATCTGCAAGCACTTCATAGCTTCCTCTTTGAACAGCACGAAGCAAAGCCGATACTCTCGGCGTGAAAGGCCCGTCTTCTCCGTGCGGCTGTCCGATATTCTCCATATTTTTATCGTGGCACCTCTCACCTTTCTCATTTTCTCATGTTTGTGAACAAGAAGAGGAGAGGCAAACCGAAAAAAAATGCGTGCGTGCACTCAAAAACCCGTTCACGAGTGTACGTGTAGATCGTGTGTCCCCCGGTATCATGGCGGTATATGGTGTGACCTTCACACACATACATACGCGTTGTCAATGCCAGCTGGCGAAGCATACGGCGGACGGCGGGCACATCACCACTGCCTAAGATTACGCCAAAGATCTCAGATGCGGCGTAATTCGAAGAATCTCAGACGAGGAGGAGTTACATGCAGAGTGGCGTTGCCGGGGATGTGTCTTCAGATCCCCGGGTTGTGAGTGTGACGAGAGAGCTACAAAAGAGCGCACAAGCACCCACCTTTTCCTATCCAGCACGGCCATGACTGACGCCGACGGCACAGAGAAGCCGCCACCACCAGCCGGAGATGAGAATGATCAGCCGAAGAGACTGCCGAAGGTTACATTAAATACGCCGCCAACACAGGAGGACATACCCCAGTTGCTGTCAACGCTCAAGTTGTTTCGGCACCAGTTCTCGCCTCGGGAGCGACATTGCCTCGGCAAGCACCCTGTGCTAGGGCCTTTGTACGAGGGGGTTCAGGTGAGGGCTGGGACAGAGGACGAATCTGGAAATGCTACTGCTGTGCTAGGCATATCTACGAAAGCATGTATGTATCGTAGTATCGTACCAGCAGTTGTTCCGCTATTTTCATGTTTCGTCTGCATGTCGGTCTGGTGATCGCGCTGACTCTAATTTTTGAGCGGTGGCGCGGTCGTGCGGTGTTCTCGTGGAACAAAAAAACACACCAGGATTACCTACAGCAGTATCCAACCAGGAGCGATGGCAATCGACGCCGGCACAAGCACCTGAAAAAATCATACACCCTTGGCTAGCGGCCGCCGTGGCTAGCAGGAAGGGAGTAGATGGAGAGGTGGGGGGACGGAAGGAGAGACAGAGACAGAGAAAACAGAGAGAGTGGGGCAGGGATCTATTGGTCGAAGAACGGGACAAGAAAGGCTTTACCGTCCCGTGTACAGTAGTACAGAAAAAAAAGTGAGGTAATTCCGATTTCAAGTTTGCTGCCGCACGAGGCGAAGTCGAAACAGAGTCCAGGTGTCTATAGAAGCACTGCCGTGTGCACTATCTGGAAAGAGTAATCCATGCTCAGGCACCCATCAAATACGTTCACTCTTTGCGTTCCCGCGCGCTCTTTCCTCTGCGGTGCTCATTACGCTTTGTTCACGTACTGTAACAACGTGGAACAGGGGAAATGCGGCCAGTTCATTGACAAACCAAGAAGGTTCGCTGTGTGCAGCTCGAGGCAGTTGTGCCCGAAGGAGCAATCACAGGTACGCACGACGGGGAGAAAATGATAGACCCAACCAGCGCCTACTGCCTTGGGTCGAAGTACTCTTGAGTGTTTAGATGGCAATAGTCGTGCAGGCAGCCCTTGGAGCAAGGTACACGTCACTGTACAAACCAAGACTACGGTGCGGCCCCAAACCTTGGAAGATATATCTTCGTAGCTTACACCCACGATGTGGGCGGGGGGGTAAATCAACCGGTTAGGTAGACTTCACCGCCTGGATGTCGTTGTAAAGGTATGCTGATGGTTACAGCAGTGGTAGGGCACATGTTTCACCCCCCTGCACCAAGGTTCAACCCTCGAGAGATGTGAATCGTTCCTCCCTCACACCACCCAGCGACAATCCAATACCTTGTACCATGCGTCCACGAGAGCTGCTAGTGCCTTGAAATCAATCGGTGTTCCGTTTGGGCTGCTCAACGCCAGCAACCCGTCTCTTTGTTCTTTTTTTAATGCTGACAGAGGCCACGATTTCATTCCACTATTTCATTCTCCGCGCTTTCCGATTTTTTCCCCTTGAAAGCTTGGCGATTTCCGATCCTCTCTCCTCAGCCAGAGCTTTCTCTCTCTCCCTCTCTCGTGCCCCGTGCACAGAGTCGCTGCACAGCCGCGCACACGCTCACTGTCTCAGCTCCCTCGCATACACTCATGGATATCTGGTGTATTGCTTTGTGTGTTTTTTTACCGCCGTGTGGTGCATTAAAGTGTCGTGCTTTTGAGATTCGTCTTCAGTCAGGTAGAGGTGACGTCAAAGCTATGTTTTGAAAGTAGTCGACTAGCAGGGGTGTACAGTAGTGCCTCGCGTGTATGTGGTGTTTCAAGTGACCTGTGCTGCGCCTTTTTGAGTGTTATCCTATTGAATGGGTCTGTTCAATGTGTGAGAGGGCCACATGCTTGCCGACGCTGATGAATGCAGGCCTCCGCCGCTCTATGCCCATCATGGAGCTACTGTTGCCCATCCTCCACCGCCCACCATTCTCCCATACCCACACGATTTCATCTCAAAAATGCAACTTTTTTCCTAACTCCGCGACCCCCAATCATGAGCATCCTGGGACGCTCTTCACTCAACGTCGCGGCGTAGACCCCCCCAAAATCTTGAACCTGGTAGTCCATAGCACTTCGACTTTCGCAACCACGCAACGCTCCCCCCCCCCCCCGCCCCCCCCCTCTATCCCGGTGGGCCCAGCCTCACCCCGCCCGTCCCGCCCCCTTGTTCTTCTTCCCCGCACGTTCTTCGCCCCACGTACCATTCCTTACGCATGTATCCCCGGCACTTGGCTCCAAAAAATGGCAGCTGCTCGCTTGCATCCGCACCACCCGGGACGCTAGCATGTGCCACGAGTTCCGAGACGAGGTGGAACGGTGCGGGGTGAAGATGTCCCAGCGCCTGCTCCGAGCAGCGCTATCGGACGACTGGTTCTAGCCTGCGAGGGAAGGGGACGAGGAAAGGGGATCGCACTCACCCCTTGTTTTCGCCATTTGCCGCTGCGGTCGCATGTAGAAGTACACCACGCCGAGAAAACTGTCGGAGGGGACTTTGTTTACCGTGTTTTGGAATCATTTGAGTAATCATTTGAGTACCGCGTACTGTAGTAGTAGTGGTGGTGGATACATGGTGGACTCGAGCCTTGTTACAGCCCGAACACTGGTGGTGATAGTGATGTTGCTGTTCTTGTTTGTTGTTCCCGTTCACTTACTTATGTTTGGACGTCAGCTTTGTTCATACCCTTTGTTTATACCTTTCGGAATTGGCTCGGACGCACCGCTCGAGGCCGCACGGGCTGGCTGTGATGTATAGTGCGGGCCAGCTCGTAAGAAGCACCCATCTATTCTAGTTCGCAAGGCTCAAAAGCCTTCGGCATCAAGACTAGATTGCGCACACGAGTTCAACTGCTTCTATCATACCTGGTACTCAATTTCTTAGATTTATTTGGTGTGGAGCTGGTGGCTGAACCCATTGCGAACGCCCCGTTGTTTATCGTGTTTTCGACATGTCTGCTCCTGGATGTTGTAGCATGTGTCTCATATGATGAGAGCGGGCCTGCGCTACAGAGCACTGCTGTAAGTTAAGTACCCTAAGACTTTCGTGCACAATAAGATGGCGCACACCACACTTGTGCACAACAAACATGTGTAATCACCGCTGTTGACTGCTGCTCCATGCATTCTGACGGGATAGACTTGTTTTCAAGTCCGACCGCGCCATTCAAAAGAAGACTGAAACGCCTGACACTTCAAAACACGGCCACATTTTCAAAACGAAAACACTTGCAGCGTGTACAGCCATATACATACCGTATATGACACAAGATAACACACCCCCTTGGCCGATTTTCAAAGTTCGATTTCTCAACAGCAGGAAGAGTCACAGCGCCGAAAACGGCGGCGTTGGAACCGTCTCGTCGAGAGCTGTTCGAAAACGTATTGTTTCATTTATGCATCCTCTTCGTCGTGGAGTAATCGAGCTTTGAAAATCGGTCCAGGGGGTGTGTTATCTTGTGTCATACACGGTAATATCAAGGAACTGGAACTACCATCACGTGGACACACATACTATCGCAGAGTACAGCGGCTTCGATATACTCAGAGCTATCAGCTGGTTTTTTTTTTTACCTGGGACGAACTTGGACGAACCCACACAACGACGGGGGACGCGCAGTTGCGTTTCGTCTTTCGAGGGGTATAGGGGGCCCGTCAGCTGTAGGATGGTGTCACAGCACACAGCACACAGCACAGGCGCGCGGAGCCAACTTGCCACCTTACACTGCTCTCTCGGTTCTCTCTCCCTCTCCCTCTCCCGAGAACGCACAAGGGATGGCTACTGCAACTAGCAAGGACGACGAGCCCTGCGCTTTCGCAAAGCTGTGGGGCCAGCTGGACGGCGCGCCGTTCCACACATATGTTACCCAGCTCCCATCAACCCTGGGCCGCGGATCTCAGGCAACAGAGGGAGCGCGCAAGAGCGCGGGGTTCATCGACCTGGGTCGCTCGAAGGCTCTGTCGAGAGAGCACGGTGAGGAGAGAGAGGAGGGCCTTAGTTTCCTGCTCGTGCGAGCAGAGTCGTTGTGTTTAGTGCCTGTTGGTGTGCCTCTGTTACTGCAGCGCAATCCAGCATGTTGTTTTCGGCTCTTTTGGGCTGCTGCTGGCTTTTGAGTACGAGGCTCTCGGGGGTGTGAGTCCGTTGACCTTTTCATTGTAGATACCACGGTAACTTTCCGCCGATTGAGCTTTGCTTTCCGTATCGGCTGGCCGGGCCAGTGAATTTTTTCCGCTGGCGAGTCAAAAACGGGTGCAGGAACGATCGCATCTGAGCTGATCAGACTTGTGTGCGCACTTGCTGCCAGCTCTCAGTCTGGTTCAAGTATCAAAGAAGTCTAGGTGTATCCATAGGGCCGCTCGCTCAAGTCAGTCGCCTGCTGCCATCAACTTAGTGCGTGTGTGTGGCACTGCTGTGCTTCATGATGCATAAGCGAAAACAACGGCAATACATTGCAATATCGAGCAAAACTCGGTTGTTTTTGTGCGATTTTTTTTTGCCAACGGGGGGCCACGCGGATTGTCACGTTGTACAGGGGTGAGAGTGTTGGCCCTGTGGCTAACGTCAGAGGAAGCATCGTACCATGTGTGCGGGGTGCGGGGTGGATCCGCATCTGTCTTGGGGGTTGTAGAAGTCTAGGCTCGAATCCGATCAAGGAGTACTTGGTTCGACATACCACACTACAGCTGTTGTCCCGTTTGTGGCGAAATTTGAATTTTGCGGTGCATGTGTTTGTTGTGCTTCCGCTTGCTGGGGACGCGCCAGGGGAGGGTGTAGGCAGACCGCACGTGCGCGTGACAAACCATGAAACCCAGTGGGGACATCCTACCGCCGCGCTTACCGAGGCGTTCACCTGCAAGGGCGCATATTGGATATTTTCCCTCGAAGTGTATATACGAAAGGACAACTCCACATGATGCACGAACGGTGGGAACGATCATGTAGGGATGGATCCCTTCATTTTCGTTGGGGTGAGCGTTTGACATCGGACCGGTGAGCTTGGCCCTAACCGCCACCCCTTTCACTCTGTCCACGAACGTCAACAAGTCGAAAATGGAGGGCCCGCAGTATGCCCTCTCTTTTGGTTGCGGCGGTGCTACAAACGGGTATAACCTTTGCTTGCTCCACGCCGCCTTGCCCTCATCTTTGTTCTTCGCTTTCTCGTGCTGATTTGTTTCTGAATGCACCACGGTGTTTCCCCGTGGTTCGGCGCCGGCCGGAACCGTGCCGTATGACGGCGGTTCTGGCGTGCCGCACCTGTACCGACTCTCGCCCGTGAAAACACCAGCCGTCATCACCTGGGTACCGTCGCAGAAGTCGTACCAGATCAAGTGCATGAGCAAGAACGGCATGGTGGTCGCCGGGAGCTACCACGCGAAGGGCGGTGTCGGTGAGAGGGAGGAACAGATAGGCGAAGGGTAAAAAGAAGAACGCACCGCACCGCCGAAGTGCCTGTTCTGCTGCTTTTTTATTTACCCCCCTTTGTCTTAGAATGCATCCTCAGTAGTAGGTGACGGGAACTATTTATTCGGGTGTATACACTGCTGTTGTAGGAGGACATGGTAAGCGTGTTTTGGAGCTCGCTCTTTTTCCAGTCGTGCGAGGCAATCAAGCTGGCCTTGGTAGTTCCGAGCAGTGTCTGGCTCTACTGAGTGTTTTCTCCGTGCCTCGCACAGTCTCCACGAGTGTTCAAGTCCACCGAGCGTGAAGCCGGCGGCCGTTCCAAAAGGGTGTAGCTTGTGGTTTGGAGCTCAGCGCAAGCCTTGACCTTATATCGCACCATGTTAGCGGTCTTCTTCGCCTAAAGCGTGGTGCGACTTGTGGCGGGAGAGCTGTTTATGTTTGGGTTCTGTGGGTCAAGCTCAGTTTGCCCTGATGGTTGTCATTCGTCAAGACACAGCAAACGCCAGGCGTGCTGGGTCTGGGAATTGCTCTGGTGGCTGCTGTCGTGCAAACTTGCTTGCGCGCACATGGATGGCCGTCCACTCTTCGTCTTGACACGTCCGGCCTTACGAGGCGTACAAGCACCCTGCAGCGTTAGCTCCGCACGCTTTCAAAGTCAATGCGGTCAACCCCTTGGCCTCTACGTCATGGCTCTCCCGCTTATTTTCTCCACAACAACGCCAAACTATTCTGCTGGCACAAACCTTGGTGAATGTACTATTTCCCCAGGCCTCCCTCCTTACGCCCCTCCCCCCCCCCTGTTTTTCTGTTGACATTACAGAGAAACTCGAGTCGCGCGCTCCGATCAAGCTCGGGCCAGCGTCGATGTACTTTCTGCTGCCGGAGAGAGAGGCGCAGAAGCCAGCACCGGCGCCAGCCACAGCTGTCGCGGCCCCGCGAGTGACCCCACCCCCTGCTGCATCGGCCCCACAGGTAACACAAGACGCCGCTGGCCTCCGTTGGGGTTGGTGCGAGGGTGTTGTCTGAGGTTCCCCGACCTCTGATCAGGCTCTGCTTGGGTGTCTCGGTTTTGGTTTTGACTGTTCGGGTTCGTTGCGATTGACCGCGGTCGGTTGTGGTCTGGTTTGGTTTGTGTGGTTGGCCTGGTTGTCTCTCGTTGGACGGGTGGTGCGTGGATCATTGGCACCTCCTGTGCCGACGCGGGAGTGCTGGTTCGATTTTTCCATATCGTACGAAAGAGAGGTCTCTCTCTGGAGGATTAAGCTTCACGGATCGCTCGTGTCCGATCTTGCCATCGTTGCTCTCATGAGACCCCGGAAGCGGTTTGTTTAAACACCTTCCCCACCCCCTTCCCACTGCTCCGTCCTCTCGAGGACGCGTGGTCAATGGTCTAGCCGCGAAAGCTTGCAAAACAAATGGGTACGCCTCCCCCCCCCCCCCCCCCGCACACCCAATTCCTATCATCTTTGCGTACCGGTGCGATGCTGTAAGCAGGCGAAGCCCCTCGAGAGCCGGCCAGCTCCCCCGTCATCACAAGGGCTGCCACCAGAAAACAGCGCACCGGCTGCTGTGGTGGCCCCTTCGGCGACGACGGTAGCGGCGGCGGCGCCAGCTCCGGCGCCGGTTTCGTTCGGCGACATGATTTCCCAGGCGTTCAGGAGTCGGGAGCTTTCGGCGGTTGCGGCGGCGTCGGGGGGGCTCTCTAGCGGAGACGTGCAAAACTGGATCATGCAAGCGTGAGGAGTAGTATGCGTACGTTAAGAGGCAGGGTTTCGTGCGGTGCCTGTGAGTGCTGTGCGTTGTCGCTTGTCAAGTGTTTTTTTAAGCGTCGTGAGTTCTGGCGAATGTCTGTGCAGAAGCGAGTCCGCGTTGTGAGTCTGGCTCCCGTCTCCTGAGAATAACTGCCTAGCATGCTGCCGCGAGCCTTGAGGCTGAGGTGGTCGCTTACCCTTGTTGGGTGAGGGTGGTAGTCGTGCGTAACAAACGCTACGGGGGGGGGGGGGAGGTAGTGCTGTCATTGAACTTGCTCTTGGGGGGCGGGTGTTCTTGATGAAACACAGTCGCGTGCGTCACCGCATACCCATGGCTCGCTGTGTGGCCGCTCTGGGTTGGTACTGCCAACGTTCCTCGCCGCCGTACTGTTGTGTCGCGTTGGCCTGCCCGTCGGAGTACGAGTGAGCCCACGGGCAGGCCAACGCGGCACAGCAGTGGCGGCGAGGAATGTTGCAGTACCAGATCGGAGCAGCCGTTGCGGCGAGCCAAGGACATGCGGTGCCGCACTCGACTGGTGATATATCAAAACACCCGCCACAAGAGCAAGAGCCTCAACAACAGCTGCACCTTCCCAACCGGTACGCTCCCCAGGGCAACCTCCACGTCCGCCAGCCACTGCTTTATAGTCCCCAAACGCAACCAACCTAGTGTTGAGTCCTGAAGGATGGTATGGTCTATACCCGTGTCCCCCCTACCAAGTAAACCAGCCGCCTTAAACTCTCGGCTGCGGGTGCAGGCCTTGGCCGTGCAGAGGAGGGATTGGAACGCAGTCATGACCGTGTACGTGCCGTCGTCTTTCGACCCGCGGGTGTCGTAGATATCACATTCCGACAACGGCGACTCGAGTGTTGAGTCGTCACCCGGGCTCCTTGGGGATTCTCATGTTGTGACACACTCCTTGACGGTTTTTTGTTGGGGGGGGTGGGGGTGACGCAGGTACCCGGAGTGGAACAAGGAGGGCCCCAGAATGAAAGCTCTGGCCGTGGGGATCGAGGAGGCCTTGAACGAGAGCTTCGTGTCGAGAGGGGGAGGTGAGCAGCCGAGGCCTGACTCTTGAGGCGGCGTCCGGCTCCTTTGTTCGCGTCCGTGTATGCATACAACGAAGAACGCCGCAGGGTCCTGAAGCGTGCCCACAAGCCGAACAAGTAGGGTCCCTAAGGGGAAGATAACGACGTATTCTGTAGGTCGCAACGAACGCGTTACGGCGAATCACTGCTCTTGTCGTTGTTGATCACTTCTTGGTAAATCTGTAGTACTGTCGGGCTCCATCGATACATGGGACACTACTCGGTGGGAACCGCATGCATGTGGCCTTGAAAGTGGTGGAACTTTGTCGTAACGGCGAAAGAAGGAATGGTGTTCCAGGGGTACCTACATGGATCAATGGATGCAGGGACATAGCTGAAGGTCAAGTTTAGGACTGGGGACATTGGGCTTCGAGACCGTAGGTAGATATGTAGGAACGTAGACGATGACGACCTCAAGTCAAACATGAATGTGGCTCCGAGTGCAAAGACCGGGTTCATGTAGTTGCAGAAACTATGTCTTACGAAAAGAGAATTGTACATGACTAAGTGTAGCTGGGAAAAATGGCAGCAAGGTACAGAGCCATGTTTGAGTCATGGAAAGTGGGCTGAAAAGGCGGGAAGTGGTATCAATAGGATACGATAGGTAGGATAGGGAAGGCCCTTTTAAAAAATACCTTTGGCGAACTATGAAGGAACGATTGGCCATCGGTGGTCGGTCCCGAACAATGCTCTGTCCTCTCGAGGACGCGTGGTCATTAGTCCACAACCGCTAACGCATGCGTAGCATGCGTACGCCCCCACTCCCCGCCCCCCGCCCCTTCCCCCGCGCGCGCAGACCGATGGGCAGAGGACTCGAGCGTCAAAAGAGTAAAGCTCAACAATGGAACACCGACGCCAGCCGTGGCGGCCGCGATCACGGCAGCAACGGCGGCGGCAGCAGCAACGGGGTCACTCGCATCGCCTAGAGAACCCGCCCCCGCCGCCGCGTCCGTTGCGCCCGTGGGGGCGGCGCAGACAGAGGGCCGTATCGACGTCTCTGGGATGACTGGTTGAATGCTCTGGTGCCGGGTGACCTGACCCGACCAGTCTAACTTTATTATTTTTGTCGTGACGTTTTTTAGCTGTTCCGGGGCAGGGGCGGGGTTGACTGATGTGTCGTCCTCCTCGCACCCGTGGATACATACACCCCTTTTTAGTTGTTTTCCCGTTGACTACCGGAAAAAACATGTACATTTGTCGGAGTGTACAGGGTAGCGGCCACGTTGTTAACGCACGGGTTAGGCGCAGAGAGAGGGTTCGGTAGGACCGCGGCGTGAAGGCGGGCGGAACCGTCCCTGTACGGGCTCGGGCTAGAAAGGCGCTCGCCTGGCAGTGTCGGTAGGGATGGAAACGGAGTAATATTATAGTAGTTGTCGTTCGTGGTGGAGGAGGAGGTTGTGGCTGTTTCTTTGGCGCGGTTTTGCGTAGTCTTGTGGTGTTGTTGTGTGGATACGATGACATTTGTACGATGATATATGTAGAGTACTACTGATAAACGTATGAGGGTGATGTTGGATTTTTTTTTTTCTGAGGGCGAGCTTTCGTTTTGTGTTGTTTCGTCACGGGGTACTTGTCCCCACGTTGACTGCCTGCTGTCTGTGTGTCACAAGCCCAAGGAGGACGGGACAGCAGTGTTGGAGCTGTGGGCTCCGTGTATCGAGCGAGCTAGACAAGGCGCAGCGCCTCGGCGTTGGCCCCATCGGCCGCAGGAAAAAGTACGCGACAAAACAACACTCACTCGTAGGCCTTACAACAGTTATGGAGGCCCTTTCCCTTTCAACGGAAAAATATCGGGAGTACAGAGAGCAAGCACGAAGAAAAAACAGGCAGAGCCAACCGTAAGCACAGGATACGTAAGGAAGAGGTGCTACAGAGCAGGGGTGTGTCTCGGGTGCCACTACGCATTATTCGAGCCTAGTGCACACCGGTGCCACTACGCAATATTCGAGCCTATTAGGGCAGTCCTGTGGTGTGGCCTTCCTCCTGTGTGTTACCTCGCCTGATGCGACCAGAAAAGTTGCACCGAAAGGTGTGAAGACCGACGTCCAGCCCAAATGGTATGACGAAAAGAAAAAAGTTGCAGTGAAACGAGACTTCTGGTTTGCCGATCAACGCAACCGCGCCCTCCTGTCGCTAGCTGTCCGATCGCGGAGACGAAACGCCCGCCGCAGGCACTGGTAGCGTATGCATCTATCGACAGCTTCTCCAAAAGCTCGCATCCCTGTTCGGTGTAATTCTTGTTTTATCGTGAAAAACACTCTGTCTGGAGACTTGTCTTTCCAATGAGCGCAGGCCCTACAGCTCTGTGTCAAACGTCGCGATAATATTTGAGTTGAATCGAGCATCGTCTTCCTCCGTGGTGTCATCAACATCAACCGCAGGGTGCGCCCTCGATGGTTTGGTCGAATCGCCCGCATCATCGGTGTCCTGCAAGGCGGCGTACGCGCGTTCCACCAGGGACCAGCGGGTCGCGCTCTCTGTCCTAGATGACGCTCCGTCCCTGCCAACGTGTTCGGGGCTGTGCGTCTTTCGCAGCCGGTTGAGGATCCGCCGTCGCTGCTTGGACCCTTGCTCGGCCGTTGTTTTGATTGTATTAATTTGTCGTTGTGCAAGTGAGCGATGAAGGGGGGTGGGGGGGGGGGGGTCATGGGAAAGTGTATCGGTGGCATTGCAGTCCGTAGCCCCCGGTGTTCCGCTATCATCTTCGTTGGTCAGGTAGCCGACACTAGCACTGTTGCGCACATCGTATTTGACGAAACAAGTCAATCTCCGTCTGCCCAACTCTTTCATCTCAATCGACTCTTTATCGTAGGTTTAGCCCGTGATGAGGATATACTCGCCCGCTGGATCGAACACGGTCTCCTTGCATACAGTAATGGATCACGGTGGGCGACATCATAACACCATACCGTGTAATCTCAAATGCGTCTTAATACACTAGGGCGACGCGGCGACGAAGAACAAAACCCCACGCTTGGCAATACCCTTCCTTACCTTTGGGCCAGTTCGTGAGGTCCGAGGCCCAAACCACATCTCCCCACAGCTTCCCCAATTCATGTCGCTCCACCATATCCACCGTGACCACGCCCCCCCCGTTACCACCAAAGCTGCGTTCCCCGCTCCCGCTGCCGTCTCCACCACCGCGGACTCGGAGCACCCAACCCAACAAGTGCTTGCCTTCCTCGTGCGATACGACGATCGTCAGCGGAGGGCAGCCGTCTACCGCATTGGAGGACGATTCTCGTTCGCCCCCCAACGGCAATCGCCGCTCACCACCTAACTGGCCGGCACTACTGCTGCTGCTGCTGCTGCTGCTGCTGCTGCTGTCGTTGTGCGTTGATTGTTCGCTGCTTCTTTCATGAGGGTCTCCCCCTCCAGGTCGACCGAGCACCAGCATCGGCACCGGCGGCAACGCCGACGAGCCGTTGCTGCCGTCGTGAGCGCCGGCGACCGCGCTGATCGCTGTCGCTGAAGATACGGCGGCGATCATGTTGGCGTCGTCGGAAGCCTCGGTGAGGACGACCAGAAGCGCGGCGCCGAGTTGCTCTCCGAGCCTGACCTGGCTCTCGATGGAGCAGGCCGGGTCTGGCGGGAGAAGCAGAACCGTTGTGCCCTTCATCTTCGACACCGCTGGCGACGTTGTCTCGTCCTTCTCGGATCCCAGATGAGGTACACGTGTTGGAGAACGTCATGCCATGAGGGTTGGTGCATTTTGTTTTTGCGGCCCGTCGAGCACACGCACACAAAGCGACAGCTAGCGTGTGTACGTACCACGGATGCGGCGCCAGACGTTGCTACAGGGTGGAACAAACATTATTGAAACCTACGAGTTCATGCCAACACCAAGACAGTTACAGGCCGAAGAACTCTACAATTGGCGGGATTCATGAGCAACTTTGTGTGCTGCTTGCAACGACGATAACCATGTGTGTGTGTCGTTATCGCGTTTCTCGAAGGGGGGGAGAAGTCATGGTTGGAAGCACCAGAACGACTCAAGCATCAAGCATCAAGCATCACTAACTATATCTTCACCGATCTGACGACAAAAATGCCACAAAAAAAGTTGATACCACGATAAACTGAAGAGAAACAAAGGAAGCGAGGACGGGCGCAAACATAGTATTTCGAGAGTATTTCAGCATCTCTTGAGAGTACTACAGCATGTTCCCTCCGTACTTCCAACTATTATACCTCGTGAGGTGAACGTGTGTTGTCGCAGGGGCCGCCAAGGATGGCGACGGTCGCGGTCGTGCCACTGCCCGGACTGTCCATTTCGGGGATGGTCGTCGACTCCTCCTCCAAGTTCAGAGGGCTGATTGCGAGCGCGCCGGTGACAAACGTCGACAAGAATTCCACGGTAATTGTTGTTTCTCCTCCTCCTCCTCCTCCTCCTCCTCCTCCTCCTCCTCCTCCTCCTTGTCCTTCACTCGCGGTCGTGTGTAGTCTTCGTGACCCAAGGAAGGGCAAGGAAGAACAGAAGAGAAACCGAAGAGGATGCTCAAGAACTCGTCGGTTTCACCCCAGCGGGTCGTCCGATAACTCAAGGATGCGCACGAGTCGCAAGAATAAAGTGTGAAGAAAGCCGGCCAGCGGCGATTTACCTGTCTCTGAGAGCCATCGATACATCCCTCCCGACTATGAACTTCACACCATCCCTTTCAAAGGGGGTGAGGGGTTGAACCCAACTACGCCAGACGCCCTCCTCCGACCACCATCAAGAACTGCGACGCGAGTGTGACTGCGATGCCTCCGCACCGTCGACAACTACAAAGGCACGTAGCGGCATCTGCCTGATGTGCTCCTTCAAACGGTCAATAAATAGTACCGCCGCTCGAAAGGAGTATATACTTCGGTCATGCATCCTCACGTTAAGTCGCCGCCGCGGAGCTGGCCTGAGCTTCTCTGCCGGCATTCTGGCAGCGTCAAACGTTCCTTCCCTCCCTCTTCCTCCACTTCCTTCCCCCCTCCCCGATCTTCTTCGCCGCCTCTATTAGTGATCACCTCGACGTCGGCCCTGGCAGCTGCTGGCGTGTCAGCAACCTCCGCCTCCCCTTGGCCTGGGGGTGTCGCAACCAACGACGGTGAAACATCTCCCCTCTGGTTGTTGATTTTCTCCCCCGCCGCCATTTCGATCGCTGGCGGGCCCCTTTTATCATCGGTAGGTGCCTTGTCTTCTTCGCCAGAGGCGGGATTCCTGGCCCCAGGGATAGGCAGCCGCCGACTACCCCGCTCCAATGGAGGGGATATTTCTCTTCGGGGTGACGGCGCTGGTTTGCCGCGATGGAGACAGGCCGCGTTAATGACGAGCGTTGCGGTGACCTTTCCTGTGGCGCGGGAGGTCGAGGCCGCCAGTTTTTGCAAGGCCTCCCCTGCGCCAAGACAGACGGGATGCAGTGAAACTGAGGGGTTACGTGTGTGCATTCGTTTTGGCACACTAAGCCTGGGCTTTCGTTTTGACACAATAAGCCGCGCAGCCGGTTCAAGAACGGCGACAAAGAAGGAAAGTGCGTGGGTGGTGGTTCCTTTGAAGCGCTTGTGCCACCCCTTTCCCGCCACAACCACCAAAAAGAGTCACACCACCGGCACAGCCAGGAGTCCTCGCTGAGAGGGCAACACATCGGGTGCAGGCTTGTGCCCCACACTTTCGTTCAACACAAAGCCGATACGCCTACTTTCGTTTCGTGTAACGCCATCACCTCGGGGTCCTACAGGTTGCCGAAAGCTTACCGTCCAGTTTCGACACCATCACGACGGGAATGCCGACAGTTTGCCCCTCTTCTGCCTCCATCCTCAAGCGGCCGGCTCCTTCATCGGCCACAACCACGCTGGCCCCGCCAGAGTTGCTGACTGCGAGCGCTTTCGCAAGAAAGCTGCAGCGTCCTCGACGGACGAGGACGTGCGCGCCTTTAACCTTGATACACGCACACCACAACGGACAACATGGGCACGAAAGAATAAGCAACACTACACCGTCTAGGGATTCTTGTCGAGAAGGCATCCACTATTGCAGGAGATCGAAACTCCTCTGATCATTCCTGCCCGTCGAGCACGATCATCTCGCGTCTGCGTCCACACAGGTTTTCCGGTGCCCCAAGCACTGTCCCGAGGACTGATCGTAGGGCCCAAAGTGAGCTTGATCCCGTCGTGCTTGTCGTCACTGTCGCCATCGTCGTGGTCAGCGGCGGTGCCCCACTCTGTGGCGTTACCATGCAGGTCACATCCGATCCTAATTGGGTGGAAGTCGCTGAGTATTTATTCCCCACACACCTGTTGCGCGTTGAGGAGAGGCAAGCAGCCATCCTCTGGGATCGCCGACACAACAGGGAGAGCGGCACAACTGTCAGCCTCGCCACCGAAGGCCGCCACCGTCACGTCCACTGTTCCTGAGGGCAGCGGGCCTGTGGACAACGAGAGGTGCCACGGTGCCTGCTCCTGCCGAGGTGCATCGGTCGCGAAGGGTGAGAGTGAGGGCAGTTCCAGCAGGAGAGAGGCAACAAGGGTGCGTAGTAAGAGTTCACACGACACCTAGGGACAGCAGAACCGCACAGAAGGCGACTCTTTGGTTCCAACGCGCACAGAACCCTCGCCAATGCCGGACCATGTTTCAAGGTGAGCCAGACGACATCCATCCGCGTATCGCCTCGGTCGAGCCCCCCAATACGCCCCAAAATCGAACTAACCTGCTCAGCTTCTTCCCTGGTCATTGGTGAATACATGCCGTGTCCCTGGGATACACGCCCCGGTTGTTTGCCCGGTCGAACTCTCAGTGTGATGAATTTCCCGACGTCGTCTTCGCCGACCTGGCGCTGGGCGGCATCCTGCCACTTTGACTCCACGACTCTCTGCATGGCATCTGCGAATTCCCCGGGACTGAACTACTGCGGCAAGCATCGCATACGCGGAGGCACGTTCGAGGTCGGGTCATCTTCAGCAAGCAAAATTAATTGGCATCTACAGGAAAAACCGGATGACCTTGTAGAGCTCAAGAGGCCACACTCAACATGGGCTATTTGGCACTCTCGGTGTGTGTGTGGTCTGTGTAGAAGCCTTCTAAGTCGTTCATTTGGGATGGGGGGACATCGTGCAATAACCCGACAAGAGAATCCTGAGAACAACCCCGTGTCCTCTCACATCACGGTTCTAGTCTCTTTACTACGCACCCACCTCGGACATGTTCTGTCCCTCGAGAGCAACAAGCGTGTCGCCCACCGCCAACCATCCCCGACGAGCTACCCACGGTAGCTCGCCGATTCTATCTCTCCGAAAGCTCAGTATCTCGAGAGCATGTCCGACGTTGACGCCCAAAGGTGTCGCCGACAGCGGGACATGGATGTCATAGTCATCTGCAGTGGTAGTACCGGAGTCGATTCTACCGGTGGTTGTTGAAGACGCCTCAACGAAGAAGACCAAGAAGGCTGCTGCCTGCCGCATCATGCCAACGGTCGGTTGGAGAAGCAAGGTCTGGCTTATTATAGGGAACAATGCAGGTAGTTGGACAGAGGTTAGTACGACTACCCGAGAGAAACAAGATGATTGCATGTATGTGTGGTTTCTCAGAAGATACAAGCTACGATGTAGATACAAACAAGCGATACAGGATTCGGACCGGGTTGGTACGTATGACATATCCGATATCCACAGCGGCGGCGACATGATCCCTTGCATTTGACATACTGCTGTGCGATACTGCTCGGGAACACGCGCATTCTTTCTCCCTATGGCTCTACTTCGACGCTCTTACGATGAGCATTCGATGCCCTGGGCCACGCAGCGTTCCCATCGGGGACCTGGGGATGCAGGCCAGACCACGAGGCCGGACTGTGCTGATGGATCCCGCGACCAACTGCAGATTGCCCGCGACACAAGGCGACAGCGGCTCCGTGTAATGAGTGACGTCCCTGCCTTGATATCGCGGAGCACCCTTAGAGAGGAGAGTCAGCTCCAGCGCAGCACAGGTCCGAGCTTAGCACAATAGCAGCATTGACAGCAGTCGTGCACACGGCAGAACACGGAAGCATGACTGAGAAAGGAAAAGAGGACGGCTCCGTCGCCGAAACCTTGGAGGAGAAGGTGCAGGAGCTGGTAACGGACGCGAAAGAGGAGACGGGTGGTTCCACCTCTGCTGCCGGCGTTTTAGACACTCTGAAGGGAGGCTTTCAGACAGTTACCGGCGGGGTGGGAATGGTCTGGCAAACGTTGGGCGAATGGAAAGATCAAGGTATAGAGTGTACCTGCGGGTGGTATACGTACCGCTATAGAATGTTTGTCGCGGTTCATAGAGGAACAAACTGTTGTCGGGTCGGGTCAAGTTTGTAATTTAGCACAGCAGCAGCCTTCTATCCATTCCACAGGAGTCAACCAGGGCTTCTTTCGGAGGTGAAGTGTGCTGTGTGTTATATCATGTTGGCGAGCTTTCCTTGTTGGTATATGGGGCAGTCTGTGTAGTCGTGCTTTCCTCGGTCTAGTCATTGCAAAAGTCCAAGGTCAATTTGTGCGATAAATGTACATGTGATAAGTCTGCGGCAATCAATAACGGTTGTTGTGCAGCAGGATGTGCGGGCCCTGGGAATGGCGCAGCCGCACAGCAGTACAAGTAGCGGTATTGAAAGTACAAGGTGCACACTTCTACCTTTTGTGTATCTCGACAGCGCCTCCAAATTCCATGATCTGCGTGTGACTCTGAATCGCCATGTTGCTATCCGTGCTCTCTAGGCCCGGTATGCGGTACAGCAGTAGTTGTCCCTGCTCAGCGCTGGTATGTGCCCACGCAGAAAATTGACCGGCAACATGTAGTCTATACCCACGGGCATGTACCGGCAATATTCAAAGTACAGATCCACTTGGTGAACTGCGGTGTTTGCCCGCCGAAAACACCGGCACTATAAACCGGCACCATTAAACAGGGACACCTGTACTGCTTGTACTGCTGTGGATACCAAACGTTGCACAAGATATCACACCCCCTGGACCGATTTTCAACGCTCGATTACTCCGACTTGTTTAAATTTCAGCAGAAACAGTAGTGGTATTTTGTGGCGGTGCCGAAAATGGAGGGAGGCGTTGGAACCGTCTCGTCGAGAGCTTTCCGAACACGCGTCATTTGTTTTCGGCATCTCCTTCGTCGTGGAGTAATCGGGCCTTGAAAATCGGTCAAGGGGGTGTGGTATCCTATCCAACCTACGGTAGGCAGGCTGTAGGAAGTCCAACGTGCAAGTCCATGCTCAACGACTGCCGTGTTGGCGAAGTGACAGAGCCGACCGCTGGGTTGCGTGCATCCCCAACCCCCATTTGGAACCGACCCTTACTCCCAAGCAGTTGCAACGAAGGTTAAGGTTAATAATTACATGTGCATATAACACTCAGTGGGCCCGTGTGCATGTCGTTGGTCGCAAATGGGAACGGAGGGGCCCAAGATACAATGGACGGAAAATGAAGTGAGATTGAAGTGGGGTGCACATCGAGGGAGGGAGCCACCCGCCGGGGGCGGGGCTGTACTGTACCACATCGAGCCAACACCACTGCTCATGCCTTAGGTGTTACTCGTGAACCTCCTAATTGTTTGTTTGTTCACGTCAGAACGGAGCGTCGGGTGTGGATGCCTTAAGCAGGGTGTTCTTCCGTCTGGGGAAAGAGTTTTTTTTTGCTGGTCAAGCGTGTTGCTCTTCGCCGGCATCACTCTGTCTTGTTTAACCGTTTACTTCCTGCCTCGCCCAATGCTTGAATTTGACCAAAGAGCCAACATAAAACCCCCAATGAACAGGAACTCCGTTGAGAAAAATGTTCAAGACGGCACGGTTGGACATAGAAGATACCGCAGCGAAGGCACGAGAGAGGGCCGCCTGCAGGCAGACGAAGATGAGGGAGAACATGCAGAAGATGGCCGAGGAGAGGCAGGCGCGTTTCAAGGAGTTCGACAAGTCAGGGGGTGAGAGCAAAAGAGAGAGATAGAGGCGCACGCCGTTGTTGTTGTTGTTATGGTTGTTGGTCGTGGTAGCAGTAGCGGTAGTGGTAGTGGCCGTTGTTTGTGGTAAAATGGCGTGGGTGTTGGTAGTGTGCTGGTGGAATGTTTGGAGCCCATTTCTCAAATGGCAAGGACTAATTACCGGTGAGTTTTTGACATCTACATATCTTTATATCTCCGGCACGGTACACAAATTGAGGTAAACACACCCCTGCTTGTTTTCGCTCGCTCTTTGTGAAATGCGGCTACTGTACGCAGCGCGGAGCTCACGAGTGATGAACAGGCGCCGTTCGCTGACTGTCTGCCCTGGCTCTCTCCTCCTCCTCCTCCTCATCATTATGGCCTTTTGCGTGTTGTCGGCGTCGATTATGATCGGACGTTGATCGCTTTCTTTGCGGATGGCCTTGTCGCGTGTCTCTGTTGTTTTTATGCATGTACACCTCTATCTGTCTGTCAGCGCTGACAAAATGCTCGGAGATAAAGAAACAACACCCCGAGCTCGTGGTCGGGGGCTTCACGCTCGCAGTGGCCCTGCCTTCGGCACTCGGTGAGCAAGCTACCTATGGCACCTACCTACCTGCAAGTGCTGTGGTAATATAGAGATGGCACACTTGTAGAGGGGGCAGGCTCTGTTGCTTTTCAGTGTTGTGTCATTTACGGATTGTATCACCGCCTGGAAGGTATGTAGTGTTTTTCGAGCTCGTGATGAAGGGCGATGCGCTTGCTTGCGGTGGCTCTGCCGTCCGTGCGGAATGGGTAAGCAAGGGATCCATGGGGTTAGCCCGACATTGCTGTCGCGTTTACTGAGGCATTTTGTCATTTTTTACGGCGCTTCTCGAACGGTAGAACTTTACAACTTACCTGCGTGCTGGCGTTGGGCGCGCTTCTTGTCACCACTGCTGCTACGTGCGCCGGAAAACGACACGTGTGAAGGACCTACTTCTCTTTGACCGGATGTAGACAACAGCCTCGCCTGCTTCATTTGTTTCTTTGGAAAGAAAGAAAGAGTGTTCCATACCATTCCTCGTCAGCGTGCTTGTGTGGGTGGCTGCCTCCGCCGCACAGCAATAACCGACACATGAAACGGGCGTTGTTCTTTCTCTTTTTCTTCGTAAAAACGTTCCAGCCGGACGGCGGGCGTTCTTCAGGAACGGTGCGAGAGCTTTGGTGCTGTCGTCTGCCGTGGTGTACGGGGGAGCATGGATGAAGCGGCGAGGCCTCACACCGCCTCAACTCGTAGGGAGCGATGACAGCGAGGCCCCGCGACCGCAGTGATACGCCGATCGAGTCTTTCACACTAAGCACGATATGTCTGCTGCAAGTCGGAGGGAAGGAGGGGTTGGGGTTCGGGCAGAGAGGGGCGTGCAGGATTTCATGGCCTTCTCTCTCGCGAAGAGGTCATGTGTTGGAGGGAGAGGTGGAGGGACGGAGGGACAGGGGCGGGGAGGAGATGTGCTTCCCGCGTACATCGGCATGCACCAATTTGGTGAGAGTGAACAACCGATATCTTCTTGTGCAGGTCATGGGCTGACCTGCCTACCAGCTCAATGATGAGAACGGTTCTCTTGCTCCGAAACCGAATGATTGACTGGAGGCTAAAAGGTTCGCCTTGGGATTCTGGCTATGCCGTTGTCATGGCAATTTCATTTTGCAGGAGTAGCAGCTCGCATTCGAGCATTTGATACCCACGTCGGGAATTTTGAACCCCAAAAGGGGCTTTTTTGTTGCACGTTGTGAAGTTTATTTCTTTTTCACGAAAGTGTGTGCCCAAGAGAAGAGCTTGCGCCACCAGTAATGATCAAGCACTTGTCCTTCCGCTGTCGTTGCGATAGCTGGTTTTTCGTGGTACATTGTGGCACACTTGCTGCTGCTATTGACTGTTCATGTCTCCGTGGCTTGTTTGGCGTGGGGGGGGCGGGGGGATCGCAGGGCCTTTCATCGCGTGTTCAAGCATACAACAAGTACACGGTATTTGGTTTTGGGGCTCTAGGGCTGGCCGGGAATAAAATTCCAGGACTATGCGACTCTTCGACGTCATGCGAGTCACAGAAGTGACTTTTCAATTGCGGAACGTGTGCTGCACGTGTCTGTTGGAGAGAACATGTGGGGCGGTCAGGGTGTAGATGATGCTCGACGTCAACAATGCTCGGATTCAAAATCCCAAGCGGTTTCAAAGGGCGCGTGATCGATAACCGTACACCTTTGTACCCATCAGCTTTTCTTTCTTCTTTCGTTCTTTCTTTCAGCACCGGTCCACCTTCTTTTCATCGCCTTTTCACGTGCTTGGATTGGTTCCACTGTACTTGTAGTCGTCGCCTTTTCTTCCACGACGAAATTGGTCCCAAACTGGATGAAGATACACATGCAATACTCTGTACGAGGAGAAGAAAGACATTGGACGACATGCGTGCGAAGGAATTCATTGTGCCCTTCATTTGTCCCGAAGGACGTGGTCAAATTCCGATCCTTCGAAGGAGCGGATGCTACTCCCAGAAAAAATAAACCCATCATGATTTTGAGTTTTCGAGTCCGGTAGCGATTTCCCTGAGCTGACGAAAGCTGCGCACACGAGATCGCGGCGGTGCCTTAGCGCGACCTAGACCTCGGCTTTCTCTGTGGGGATGTTCAAACGAAGCGACGTCGGTGCCGAAAGCAAGCTCTTTCTCAGAAAATATACAATATGCACACAAGGTAAGCTTCGAAACGACATTTACTCCACCTTCCGGCTATCTACTTGCGCCTAGCCCCGCCCGTTCTCGGCAGTATCATCGCTTTGGCGTGAATTAAAAATCCACGTAAATTAAGAAGCAACAGCTACACGTCAGCACTATCACCACTAAAAACTTGCAGCCTCCACTGCATGTGCAGACTCGGCTGTAGCAACAAACACCAACGAAGCTTGCGTCACTGAAAGGCAGGGCACCCGCCCGCGAAAATAGAGACGTGCTGTGGGGGTAGCGGGAATTTCGTGCTTTTGGCCGCTGGCTCACTCCCTTTCTCTCAAAACCTCACCACACCACAACACAAACATGTAATTTACTTACGTCAGCCATCCGCCATTGGCCTCCCCTCCCTCCCCCCCAACGTCAACCCCCAAAAGGACACAGTAGTCCCATCCGAACTCTCAGAGCTTACGCGCGCTGTGCCAGCATATGCGCCTGTGGGGCGCCGGTCTGTTGCGGGCTCAAGTGCAACCCCGAGGAATAGACTACATATCTAGAGAAGGACTATATCCAGAGAACGAAATTGCCAGAGGGTGTTCATTCGTTCTACATGAATTAATCCCTCGCAGCTACAAACATACTACGCCCGCCACAGACCAGCGCCCCGCATTTGCATTCCGTGGCATTCGGCAACCACGTATAGCCCGGTCAAAGGCTGATGACGCCCTTCACGGGCTGGTAGAAGAGTTCCTCTCCAGTCGCGTGTCCTTCAGCGCGAAAAGGAAAACGTGCTTCTCTCGAGAGAAACCCGCGGTGACCTGCGCGAAACAAATGGTGACAAGGAAAACGTTCGGGTAGGGTAGGGTACATGTACAAGCCGGAGGGGGAGGGATGTGTTAACAAGCTGCTCCATGTTGCCATAAAAAATAAGGACCGACTGCTGTGACTGTGACCGACTCATCCATGGAAGGGGTTACTGTTGAGTATTTCTGCCGGACAAAGGGATCCTGTGATTTTGTTAGTTTCTTGCATCCTACTGGTACCACATATTCACTCTTCCCGAGAAGAGCGCCGTGCGTGTGACAATCTTGGTGGGAGACATCGACATCGACCGTGCTTGCGGGCTGGCCCGTGGAATCACGGCGTAGATAGACTGCTGTGCACATGTCTATGGAGAAGAGTCAGGTGAAGCACCGCTTTGCACGGTGCGAGGTTCCTCGAAATTAATCGGTGCGATGAATACAGCAGAGCTTTTTGGGGTACTTGAGAAAACCCAACCAACGTTCGACTCCAACAAAAAAGTAGAAGAGACACAAGCTGTTGTCATGCAGGGGTGCTCGGCAGGGGCGATGAAAGGAACCCCCTTTCACCGTTCTTCTCTTTGCACAACAACACTAGCATCGTCACAACACACAAAAACGAAAACCCAGAAGTTCAGTCTTCCTGGGCGCGCTTACCGCCCGCTTGTACAGAGATACACGAACTGAGCAAAATAGAATTCAGTCGCGTTTACATAAATAGTGCTCTCAGCGCACTCAACAACGCATCACCCATCACACCTATTTAATCAACCGTTGGAAACAATGTACGCTGCTCACCGTGCATACGAAAACTTTGGGCTTGTCCGAGTTGTTCATCACTCGGGTGGGGAAGTCGAACGTGGAAATGTCCAGATAGATGGGGTCTCCACTATCGTGGACGACATATCCCTGCGGCAGCATGACACCGGGGGAGTTGAGGGAAGGGAAAGGGTGGGGTTGGCGGGAGCGGAGAGGGGATGGGGGCTCGCTGACGAATTGGTGTACGTACCCCAACCGAACCGATTTGACGGCACACGATCATACCGGTCATACCATCCACCCACGCTGTGCCCAACACATTTTACGTGGGGCAGTCGCTGCTGCTGCTGCTGCTGCGACGTAGTCTGTGCCTGACAAAAAAAGGCGAAGCAAAAGGGAAGGGAATCCTGCTGGACCCAGCTTGGACTGAGAGTACGTTAACACATACGTGGGGTACCACGGTTGCTCCTCTTCAACGAAAACCTTTTCAAAACCAAATGTATTGCCTTCGAGGCACAGCCGAGGGTGTTCGTGTAACACGCACTGTTGTTCCAAAAAAATGGTGCGAAAGCCATGGACGTGCACAAGTATAAGGTAGACTACAGCTGGGCCGATGGTCGCGAAGCTCACAAAACGAAGGGTCCGGGTACGCTAAGCACGCTGTTCCACTTTCCATCTCTTTGTGCTATGCAGAATCCATGTGCTTGTGAGGAAAACTACTGTAACTATGCCCATTTTCCCCTCCCTCGCTCTCACGTTCAGGCCCAATAGGAGGCGCGCCGCCAACCGCTTCGAGACCGAGGAGCAATGCCTCCGGAAGGCCATGACGACCTCCTGCTCCTCGAAAGGCTGGGTGCGAACACCCCGACCCCCCCCTGTGATTATCAACGGTTCCACAAAATTACGGGCGGCACGGGTGAGACACGGGTGTAGTGTAGTGTAGACTAGCGTAGCGTAGCTCAAGAAAATCATGGTACGTTCCAAATATCGTGAAACTGAACTGGGAATTAGCATGCCTTTGTCCACGGGTCAAAACCTGATCCGAGGGTCAGGTCTATTACGTGCCCGGTAAACGTATAGGAAACGAAAACAAACGGGTTAGTTGGAACGACCCGCCAACATATCTGTCCATGACACGCGCGGTTGACCTAGACGGTGAAACCTGCCGGTCATGCCTTACAAATATTCCTGCAAAAAATGTAAATTTGAAGCAGACCCAGAGAAGGCCAACCAACGGTGGAAAAGCCAAACATATCACGAAAAAAAAACTACCGTAGCAGCTGCGCGTGTTGTTGCTAGGCAATGAAGGAAATCCATCGTACTTGTAGCAAGCATTTCGAACAAACACACGCACACACGTGTGCATACCACCCCCGCCTTCGAAAGACAGGACCCGCGACAAACTGCCAAACACCCAGCCAGGCGGTCAAAAACGTGTCCCTCCTACAGTACCATCGACGTATGTATTGCTGTCCATCTGGTAGACATGTGGTGCATGTTGCATAGTCTAGGACATGTAGGAGGCGACATGTTGCACCCACCGCGATGGAAATGCGATGAATGGAATCAGAAATGCGAAGCTGGTACTCACTCGCCGCTGCCTCACGGGGTGGATCCTGGTAGATGACGTCCAGGCCATCAAGCTTTCACCCTGAAAGGCCTGCCCAATGGCCATCCCCAGAAGGTCGAAGACTCTCGTCATCTCGTCCGTTGCCCCTGCCGACCCTCTTTTAGGAGAGCCTGTGTCGCGGTGATCTTCTTTCCCCAGTCATCCTCGCCAAAACAAAGACCTGGATTCTTTGCCTCAAAGATACAATACCCTAGTGAACGTTGCCTAGATCGTCTGGCTGTGAGTGACTATTGATCATTCTAGACTTGGCCAAGGGGGAGAAGCAGCAGGCCAAGAGGCAGTGCGCGGTGTCGCGGCTCATCATTCATGATATCCTTGGAACTTGGAAACGCGGGGAGGGGGGGGGGCGCGAATCGCTCTCTGTCTTATGTATGTACAACCATCATTGCGGAGCCCCCAGCCTACCACCAACACTACTTGACTCGCACACCGGCACCGTCCACAGCCCCAGCAACCAAGCGACGCTACTGCCAACGTACTCTGGGCTATGGCGGGGAGATCTTCAAGAAGCGGTGGAAATAGCAACGAGCGCATCCAGTTGCTGGTGGAACAAAAGCTCGGCGAAGGCCTGCAGTACGAGGCCTTGCAGCTATACCGCGGAGTAGTCTCCCGCAAGTCTGCACGAGGTAACGACAACGCGGCGCTCACCATCGCCGAGCAAGGGATAGGGGTTCTACTGGCTCGTGGCTACGCAGACTCGGCCACAGAGCTGGGCAATGTGCTGGTGGGTATCCTCAACGATCATGAGTTGCCGGTGACGGAAGAGCGCTTGGAATTGTTCAGGAGGGTCAATGCCAAATATGAGGATGCGAAGCGAGCAGCGGTTCTAGCTGAGGAGGACAGACGAACAGCGGCACAGGAAGGGCAGGGGGGGGTGGGGGAGGTGGAAGAAGGCAAGGAAGCTGGACGAGGGATGTACTCTGTTGGGGTATTGCAGGTGTGTGTGTTGGTGCGTTGTAAATTGTGCTCTTCGATTGGGAGTGCCTGTTACTCTATGTACTGCAAGTATCAGCGTCATGTCGGCCCACCACCCGAACACTATAATATCAGCGTCCGCACCGGTTGCCTGCTGTCGGAAGCAGGTGGCATGAGCACATCTCATGCTCTTTGATCAGCAGCGTGAGATGGTGCGGTAGGTATGTCTCCACTGCACAGCTGTTGTGCTTAGAAGCACAGCGTGGTATTACTGCTTTGCTTGTTGCATCCGGTTTGGTCATTAGCTGGATCTAGCCCTTTGCGAACCCCCGTGTGGCAGATCCACTTTATCGTCCTGTCGAGCAGTATGATCGGGACATTGGTCACCACATGCGATAGAATATGCTCAACTCCATGCGGATTTTTCTCAGGGGCGGTTCCTCAAGCTCGCGGTAGCCTGGACGGCCGCACGCGGGCAGCGCTTGAGCGGCGACCCCGGGCTGTGCGGTCTCCTGGGGCGTTGCCTTTGGAACGAAGGGGATTTGGAGCGCGGCACAAGATATCTGGTGCTGGGGGAGCGTCCGCAAGAGCTCTGCGACTTGATTCTGCAGGATGTGTCTGATGCGAACGCTAGGTGTGTGTGACCTAGAGGCTCCCTCTTGGTGCTGGTTGTGGTGTGGTGTGGTGTAGGTGTTGATTTAGTTGGTGTCGTGTGTCGTGGTTGCTATCATAATCCTTTTGAGGATGCTGGTCGCAAGAATTGTGCCTGCTGGCCTTGCATGGTTCCTGCGGAAATGCAAGGCATGTGGTCTGCTCGTTTTTGTTCTGTTTTTTTTTATCTTGTGTATGATGTGTCGGAAGTTTTGGAATATCGGACTGTGACGACTTGATGAGCGAAATATATGTTCCCATGTTGTATCTGATGGTACCTGCTCTGCGCAGAGAGTTGGCGGTCGCGAAAGGTGTTCTGCAGTTCGCGAGCAAGGCGAGCCTGAGGGATGCGAACGCGCTATTGGCGGCATACAAGGTGAGATACTGCCAAAACGAGAGCGACCGGATCAGTAGTCGCGGCAGCAGCAACAGCAGCTCCTGATTCATGAGCCTTTGTTACCAAGCTTGAGAGAAAGAGCGGCCTAGGTGTGAACTCGGATTGCCGCTGGACATGAGAAGGGGCGGACAAAAGGGGGGGAGTGTTTGTGCGCCCTCGTTTCTCGTGTTTCCGTGGGCGATTGAATCGTTGGCACATTGTTGTGTGGCCATACGTATTTAAAGTATGGTGTCGCTTCCTCAAGGGATCGATTCGAATGGTGGGTCGTCGGCACAGAAGACCGCAAGACAAGTATTACATCGTTGTGCCTGTGCCACGCATACAACGAGCTTCACCACGAGTTGAGCAGTCACTAGGATTCTCCGCCAAGCTCGGCGGGCATGAATGTTCGAAACATGCGCTCGGCTGGTTTTGGATCGTCCTCATCATATGCTATGGCCTTGACTTCGCACCCCCACTCGATGGCGCTCCGCGAATCGTTTATCGCCCTACTCTTGCACGCTACGGTCTACGCACCGCCGTTGCGAATGGTTAGCGTTGTATTTGTTTTTTTCAGCTCTGCTCATTATTTTTCCCCTCTCTTGTGTGTCTAATACGCCAGACCCAGACGGGCGGCAAGCAGCCGACCAAGGGAGTGCTGGGGTTTTGCGCGATGCTGCTCAAGACGTGCGAGTACGACGCGACGCCGGTGTTCCAAAAGCTCCTCGACGCCTACCAAGCCGACCTCTCGAAGGACGAGGCCTTGTTCGGGGTGAGGTTCAGTTGATCGAAATTTCGAAGAGCTGTTCAAGAAGGGGTGTTGTGTTTGGGAGGCGCTGAGGAAAAGGATGCCGGTCGGCAGGGGGTCGCTCTCTTGCTGTATGTTGGAGGCGGGTTTTGGTTGAAAGGGGGGCGGGGGGGGCGTGTACTCAAAGCTGTGCGTGCCGTAGTCGTGTAGACCATTGACCTCGCTTCCCTATAAAGCCGGGACGGAGCAGGTTTGTACGGGACCAGGGAAAGGGGGGGGGGGGGGGGAGGGGGGGCAAGACGGGGGGGAAAGGCACTGCGCACTTGCCTGTCTTCCTGGTGCAAGGCACATGCGCTTCGGCAGCTCTTCTATGCTTCTCGGCCATGTCGTGCTCGTGCTCATGCCAAAGTGGTTTTGACCACCACCGTGTTAAGATTCATGATTTTGCGACACTCGTCTGTGCCAGAGTTGCATCGAGTGATTGTATTCTTGGTCGCGCTCTCTTTTGAGTGTCCACCGCACGTGACTGTGTGAGGTTTGGCTGCGAATGGCAAGCTGATAGCGGTGGAGGTAAGTACCAGTGTTCGTGACGATCAGAGGATCCCTAAACAAGTCCACCACCGTTCCGAATTTCCCCCTATACGTGCCTCTATGAATGCCTTTTTGTGGAGAGTTTCCAAGACAGCAACACTCATGGTTTTAACCCCCCACTAACACATTGGGCGCTTGCTCCCCCGGCCGGCCGCCTGTCTCCCGCTCGCCCCTCCATAACGCCCCTCGGCTTTTCCGTCGCGTTTCGCCCTCTCCACTCTCGGGGTTGGTTTGGAATCACACGTGCAGTCCGTGGAGAGCATAGCGATGACGTACTTCAACCTTAGGCTGAGACCGCCGTCCATGCTGGACAACATCATGGGCATGCTGGGAGGGATGCCCAAGTGAACAGAACGTACCTTTGGTTTCGTAGGTGGTCCTCGCTACATGCAGTTCATGCTGCAGTTTTTGAAATGCGCAAGGGAGGTTGCTTGAAACCACACCTCAGGCCCCGAGGGGGGGCGGGGGGGGGGGCGTGTTTTTTTTTAGTTAATGGTGCGTAAACGTGTGTGTTGTGAGTGGTCTCTAGTGAGACGTGGAAGATATGTTCGAGTACCTTGGCAGTTGTTACGCGGTGGCGTGGGAGGAGGAGGCGTGTATGTTGTGCGGTGTCCGCACGAACATGTGTTGGGGGCGTACATGCGTCACGTGAGCCTGAGGTAGCCATGATTCAAGTCGAGTTTGGGGCGGCAGCAACGCCATGCTGCCCTGATTGACTGCGGTGTAAGGATAAAAAGTGTGAGGAGCGTCTGCTGTGGGGGTCGTCGTGCCATGAATGAGCTGCGTTCCTATCGACACAATAGTTCGGCCTCGACGGCCTCACCAAACGGCACCTGAACAACGCGTTTGTGTCTCTATTGACTTGTGCATTTAATGGCTTGGACTTTGCTTGTTTTGGAGTCTCCTCTTGGATCCCTTACTTAGCTGCGAAGCACTCCAGTACTCATCAGACGCCAACCGCCGCGTTTTCGGTACTGCCGAAGGTGGGATGTCGGTGGACAGAAACAGGGTCGCTTTCCCATGTCCGCTTGACATATATATCGCGAGTTCACTTTATTTGCATCGCCCACGCGATTCATTCCCTTTACGAGAATCGGACATGGTACGATGATAGCAAGATTACTTGCACTTTAGGGAACAGAGTGGAGAGACACCAAACAGTGATTGCGCGTGCTTGGAGGAAGTGAGAACAGACCCGTGTTGCGTTTGTAGAATTTTGTAGCTCTTCGGTGCCGGTCGTACGAGGGGGGAGTGAAAGGATCCCCGGGGTATACCGACCCAAGGACAAAAAAGAAAAAGCATCCTCTCGGGCACACTCCTTAAGAGAATCGAGAGGGCCAGAGAAATGTCGGTTAGCTTGTGCATCGCAGTGCAACACATGGCCGCAGAGTCGAGTCAAGCCTAGAATAGTAGGAAATCACACCAAACAAAATATATCTCATGCATACACCTCATGTATGCCTCGTTAGGTGCCCCCCCCCTCTCTTCCATCATGCCCAAACTCCGGATTTTTGAAGGGCGTACGCGAGAGACTTGTGGATGTTTCACCCTCCTGAAAGATTCGCACCCACAATCTGGGGATTCAGAAGCTTACCCGGTTCTTGCCACTGAAGCACCGGGGCGACCGGCACTATAAATGATGATGCCCCGCGCAGCCTGTCCGTTTCTTTTCTTCTGATCAAGTACTGTAGTAGGGAAAGTACAGCTGCGCCGCCGTCTCGATCGTTCGTCATACACATGATAACAGCAGTCATAATCATCGATGTAGGAGATTCTGGAGAGAACCCCCCCCCTTTGCGTCATGCCACATCGCAATAATAACTCTTCTTCCCCCAACAAACATCTGCACAGCCGTAATGCCACATCTACAGTCTTCAAAACGCGTATCTGTGATCTGCTGCTGTTCGGATGAATGGATCAGTCCGATGATGATGTTGGATCCAGCATCCCCAAGTCGATTTACTTGCACACAACACACACATGTGACGCCGATCAATGACTACCCACATTCGATCACACTCTCAAGGGGTGAGGATTGAACAACATGTGCGGACGACATGCGCACTTTGTTTATTTTTCTACAGTGATAATACTCCACATCGGTCGCCCCCGGTGGTCTAGTTGGTATCCTCGAAGCCTTCTAGAGGTCAGGCCAGGGGTTCGAATCCCGGCGTAAGTGAGCTTTTTCTCTAGCAAAGTGAGTTCTTCTCTCGCTTCCGCTTCTGGCCTATTGGATAGCGCTAATTCGTGTGTACACAGAGTGAAGAGAGTGCTGAACTCTTCTCGCATTAAAAATCGAAGGCAAAGTACCGCAGGAGGGGAGGGTAGAGAGGGGCTCATCTGTGCGACCACGGGTTGGAGTAAACGGCACTAGTGCTGTGAGCGCTGATTTGAAGTGAAGACAACAAAAAAAAAAACTCCAACGAATCCATCTCTACCTAAGAAAAGTCCAAGATAGATTAGCAATGAATCTATAGCGTCAGCGAAGGCTACCTGTACCATGTGACCATGTGCTTTTCGCAGAGGATTCCTTTTCTACCCGATACACGACACACGCCGCATGCCCGCATGCCGAAAATACAAATTACACTGAAACGCGGGACTGTAGGAATAGTTGGACGGTTCGGGATAATTCTGGCAAGCTGTTACATACTGGCTCTCAAGCCACCTGTGGTCTCGAACACTGGGCCGCATTCTCATCAGCTGCTGCGGATAGCTTCCTGACCAACGAGTTCACTTACCTCCGGCACCCGGCACGAGCTCCCATCGTTATTATTACTTCACCCCGTACTGCAACAACACCAGCAAGGATGGGAAAGTCTGTGATAGGGCGCTGCGCTTTGCTGGCGCTGGCTCTGATGGCATCAACCGTCAGGTGAACAGCAAAAAGGCGGCCACTAGATAAATCGTCATGTGCGCGCCGACCTTCTTGCACTCAGTGTTTTCGCCGACCTTGCAGTGTATGCACCGACCTTGCAGTGTGCGCCAACGGGAAAGGTCAATCGTCTTAAGTGCACTGCTGGTGCTGGCACACACGTCCCACCACCCGGCGATCCAACCTATATGTCACCCAACACACACTTTTTGCTCACAAGCGGCCGGCCGGTAATTTTCAGGCGAGCAGCAAATCATCGATCTGTCCTCTCAAGCACACAAATGAGAACACGACGGAATTGCCCTGCCATGTTCTGCTGAACCCCAATGCCGTCTGCAGGTCTCAGGAGTGCGACGACATCGACGCGTACTTCGGGGACGTGAGCTCCGTGACGGAGATCGACCTGGGAACCATCATCAGGGTGGACTGCCCGTCCAACGACGACGCCGAGGAGCTACCGTACATCACCATCGAGAGCGGCAAGACCCTCACCGTCAAGTCCGAGGAATCCTTTGTTCGGTGCGTGCGCTGAATTCTGCGTGCTGTTTTCATGATTGGAGCCAGCGTTACTCTATGTAATGATGTGGGTATTTATACTGTCTACACAGCAGTAGAGATAATAAACTGTACAAATATAATGGTGAGAGGAAAAAGAGGTCAAACGCAACTCCTTGAAGGAGGTGACAACGTTGAAGTTTGCTAATTGCCAGCTGCCGCAAGCAACGGGTATTTGCCAGCCGCACGCAACGGGTGTACGCAACATACCGTACACTACACGAGTGGTTTGTACCCTATTTTTGTTTTGCTTCCCCGCGGCGTCGTGTGTATGTGCCGGGTTTCTGCGACCGCGGGCTCCCCCGTGTTGTGGACTAGTCTGTAGAGCTACAACAATGTGAGAACCAACAACAACAACTAGCGTCGGGGCGCCACCTGCGGTCTGCTGCTGCGGAGATCCGTTGTGGTAAGCAGGTGCATTAAATAGTTCGCAGTTCGCAGCAATAGAGCTGGTTGATCGCGGCTTACCCTCCTCTGTACTCTCCTCTTCTTGTTTTGCTTGTTGTCTTGCTCCTTTGCGTTCAGATGTTTCTTCTGTTGTGAGCAAGGTGCATCTCTTTCTTTTTCCATTGTTTTTTTCTTTCCGATATACCTGCCTATACCAGGGTATCACCTACCTAATGTGCCCCGTTCGATCTTTCTAACCGTTCTGACAAAACAGATTGTATGCATACAACACAACCTTCCGCGTTGATCGCGGATACATAGTGGTTCGAAGCATTTTGGACTCCACGTAGTATACTACCACACCTACCTGTGTGTGTCTTAGTCGGACCTCCTTGCCAAATATTTATGTCTTGCTCCAATCTAAAATGGTAGTCTTGTACCTGGGTAGTTCCTCGTTTGGGCCACAAATGGACGCTGGATAGGTTTTAGAAGGGCATCCTATGCCCAAAACATATCCTCTCAATGACGGAAGGCTCATATCTCCCTGGTTTATTTTCGAACGACGACAAGGGTATGCTTATCGGCTTCTTTGGTGGCCGTACATGCTCGTTTTCTGTCGACGTGCAAGCTGCTCCACAAGGCGAACGCACATGCACGCAACAAAGATCGGAGTGCACGGGCATGTTTTGTAAAAACGGTGAAACAAACACGGACAAAAACGCAATCGTCATTCGAACAATGCTATGTACCTGATACATGATACCGGTTCGCTTTTCGTTCACCGCCTCTCACAGTCGCCGTTTTGCTTCTTGTTTCGGGATCCGCGTGGTTCGGCACACACATCTTTTGATTTCTTCTCTCTTGCCTGCCTCTTCTCTGTTTGTACGCCTCATCAGGTTTGTCAACCTTCGCTTCATCGTCGAGGAGGGTGCCTCCCTCATCTTCGACATGCCCGTCACAAGAGTTGGCCCCAACAGCGGCGTAAGTGCCCGAACAAACATATCAAGAGTCAGAGAACGGCAAACTATCTACCCGCGTTAGTGTGGAAGCCAGGGTATAGGTGTCTTCCTGGTGGTAGTGACGCACATACAACCAGTAGAGATCCGAGACCCTACGAACCATGTTCTCCGGATCTGAAGATGTTTACAAAAAGATCCTCCGCCTGCTGTGACCAGCTGGAGGGTGAAAGAAATGGTGCCCCCGAGGCTTAATCTCACCTTTCATCTTCCATAAAAACTAGCAAGGCCGACCAACGTCGGCCGCGGTTGGTAATTCCTCGCGACATTGAAACGAGAGCGAAATACCTCCGCTGGTGAACGGTTATTCACCACTTCAGGGACCCTTACTCGTATCGAAGATGTTCTCATTGGCAGTATGGCCATCTACGACCGTGCTACCCGAACCTTTTATTAATAAAAGAATCAATCAACAGCAAGCGGGGAAATAACCTTTTTACCTGCCGCCGCTGCTGCTGCTGCTGCTGCTGCTGCTGCTGCTGCTGCTGCTGCTGCTTTGGCAGCAATCTGAGGGCGCGGGCGACTTCGTGTTCGACGTGGCGGAGGGCGGAAGCTTGACCTTCAATGGGAAATTCCGCGCCAGCCAGGTTTCCAACGTCCGATCGGTGTTCTACAACCGCGGTTCGATCGAGTGAGTTATTGACTGACACCTCTGGCCACCAGCCAAGCATCTCATTCCATCGGCCGGCTACTTACCGTAGCTTCGACGTTGTGTGTGGTTGTTTGGGGGTTGGCGCCGTGTGCGGTTCGTGGGTCGCAACAGCAAGGCCACGGCTGCCGCAGCAGGCCGAATAACCTGGCTCCCGGGCAAGAACGGCGGTCGAGTCTTCGGCCGTGTGTTTGTTTCCCCTTTCGCTCCTAGGTACAGGTGCCCCAGTTGCTGTCGTTCCCTTTCCTGCTGCTAGTTTGACTTCGTACTCGTACCACAAGCCGATAGCAACAACCTGAGGGCATGCCGTTGTTTTCCGTGCGGCGTCCGCCTCGCCTTGCCCACTTGCTTGCTTGCGCTCGTGCGGGTTTTGGGGGGAACAAGGTTCAAGGACGACTCTTTGTTCAACAACAACGGCAACGTCTTCCGGAGCAACGAGGGCACCATCAAGTTCCGCGGCGACGCCGTCTTCAAGAACAACTGGTACCTCGCCATCGACAACGACGGCGAGGACTCCTTCGTGAGGTGTGTGTGTGTGTGTGTGCTTGGAGCCCTCCTTGGCTAGCTAAGTTCGCGGAAAAAACAATGCTTCCTTCGTCTGCATTTACCACACGCAAGTGTTTGTCTGCCGCTCGTCTGTGCGTATCAGTCAGCCCGAGTGGCTCGATTGCAGTCTCCATCGACCGCGCTCACGGCTTGACAGCATATGTGTGCTGCCGTGTAGACGCCATTGTGAACATCAAGTTGTGTACGTTTCGGGTATGTTTTGGAAGCACTACTTTATAGCCCCGGTCATACGGCAAGGGGGAAGGCCTCCACACAGCTTTTCGCTTCTCCGCCTTCCTTTTCTGCTGTACTCCCTACGTGTATTTCCATCTCGACAGACGTTTTCCGCCGTAAATTAGTATTTTGCTCGTCGACACCACCAACGTGAAATAGTTTGTTTTCTTGGTACCCACGAAATTGTCGCTCGGGGGGACTACCCACTACTCTTGTTAGGGGCGTGACTGCTGTGCGGCAATCGACCCCGGTACGTTCTTGAAATATGTATTCACACCGCTACCGCCCCCGCTGGCAACCCCCTTCTCGTTTGTTGAACCTCTGCCTGGCGTGGGACGCACGCTGACTTGATGGTGCTACAACGGTGCCGCCAAGGTTCTCCAAGACGGCGACGTTTATCGACAACGCAGGTAGGGTGGAAGTGTTGGTTTTTGGGTGAGCAGATCGAACCTGCGCTGCTCGAAGGTGCCATCAAGTTGAAAATAGGCCAGCACCGGGCGATAGTCTAACCGATCATCGTCGAGACTCTCGATGAAAGTCAATTTTTGCTTTGAACTGAAACTTCGAGTAGAGTTGTGAAGGCTGTGCTACAACGTTCCCCCTTGTTCATTGAACTTTTACGTCTTAGCGTTTCGCCTGAAACGTAACACGTAGGATGTATCTCCAATCTGGGTCGTGTTTGTTATCTGGGCGACGGGGCGGCGGGGCGGCGGGGCGGCGGGACGATATTTGCGGTCGTAGACATTGTCGCATGCATGCAGCGCGATCATTAGTCAGTACACGAGTCGGACACCGCATTATTGACGTCTACGATCATGACTCGTTTCAGTCTGTAGTGTAGATTTTCCCACACGTCAAGTCGCCCCCCCCCCCCCCCCCCCCCTGTGATTGTGTACGCGTACATATGACTTGCACGATAGCGCGAGTGCTGCTGCTGTTGCTGATTGGGTGGCTCGACTGACACCTCCTTGGCATTGCACGCACCCGTACACTGCTTCCCTCGTTGGCGAAGCTTGTTCTCCTGCACCCGTTGTCCATGTTACGCTACCGCTGTCTCTCACCTCTCTCTCCCTCTCATCTATTGTTTTTCTGCCCGCTGTTTTTAAAACCCCTGTGTACAAAAAAAAACACGGCGTACATGGTGGCATGCCGGCGTGCCACCCTCGCCGAAACAACAGGTTTTTTCGATGGTGCCTGGGGGTGTGCCATCGACAACGGCGGGACCGCCATGTGAGTCTCGACTGCAAGCCGTATATGTACGCGGTGCATGTTGTTGCCGGTTCCTGCTGTGTGTATGTGTGTTTGCGCGACAGCAGCGTGCGTTCGCCCTGGTAGCGTGTTTCTCTCGCTACATACATGGGTGATTGGACGAAACGAAAGCCTGTTGTTCCGTCGTCCATGCTGTGCAGACTTTGTGACGGCGCCTGTTGGATTTCTGGACAAAACACGCATGACTGGTACCGACAAACCGTGAACCACATTCAACCGGTTTTCGCCCTGGTTCTCCCCCGGCCATGCCAGGCGCTCACAAGCTTGCGGTAGTGTTGTGGTGTAAATGTAGGCAACGTCGACGCAGCCCCCAACAGTTTGAATGACGCATGCCGTCTGTCGCTTAAACAACACCCTGCTGCCGGCCCATCACCGCCCCCCACGATGTCTTGTGCCTGGCCATCCGTTTCTCCACTTTTTCAACCGCGCTTTATTTTTGCTTCGAGAGCAGTTTCCGCGACGACGCTGTTTTCTCCGACCACGACTGCGACGAGGGGGCTGCTGTCTCCAACACCGGGAAAATGAGGTGCGAACTTGAAACGGTCATGTTGGGTTCGTTTTTTTTATAATTCTCTCTACAACAACAGCGGTGCTTCCGTGACTTTGCCGTCAAACTCTTATGACCTCCCCCCCTCGCGCCGCTCTCCCTCCTTGTCTATCTGTCCCCCTGTTATTATGTCTTTCTCCCCCCCTCCGTTACGGCGCCAGAGTCTTTTCCGGTAGTTGTTCGACTCGTTTGATCATATGTAGTCGGGTTTTTTCTTCAAGCGACCCCCCCCCCCCCGCAAACGCTAGTCTAGACTCCCTCTTAGTGAGCCGTTCTGGTAGACCCGGCGGTCACGCAGAAGGCCGCCCTCTTCTGTCAGCCGCACCCCCCGCCGTCCGCGGGATGTGCCTTGAAAATACAAATAATGGAGGAGGTGGTGTTGTGTTTTCGCATGTTGGGTGGAAATTTCCACGGGGGGAATGCCTCCCTACATCAGTGCCCACCTCGCGGATCAATCGACCGGTCACGCAAAATCACGGCAACCACTACTTGGCACAATCACGAGTACCCCCCCGTGCGCTCATGCCGCGCCAACTTTGAACCAATCCCACGACCAAACGTTGCCGCCTCACTGGTAAACCCCCCAAACCTAAGTCTAGATCAACGATTATTGTGTGTTTTTCTCTCACTGTGTGTAAACAACGAAAGCTGAGTCTAGATCAATGATTGTTTTGTGTTGTTTCTCTCTCCTCCGTGTCGCCACCACCGCCACCCCGGCCGCCAGGTTCTACGGAAAGGCTTACTTCTCGGACAACCGCAACTACCGCGACACCGGCGGAGGCGTTTTGAACAGGGCCGTCTACGACTCGGACCAGGCGGGGGACCTTGTGTGAGTGCTTTATTCGAAGAGTGCCTGAGCAAACTACAGTACAGTATGGGAAGAGAACTCGATGAAGCAACGAAAAAAAATCGCGGTTGGGCGCGGGTGACTTTTCGAATAAAACGCGAGAGAGGTATCTGGGGATGAAAAAAAAGCTGTTACAAGGCGATGGACGGAGGGTTTGGATATCTTGTTTCCACACCCGCAGCAGTAGCAGCAGCAAAGATAGTCCCCCCCCCCCCAGGTGCAGGGACCAGTTGCGATGGGTGTGCACCCAGCTAAATAGGAGGCTGGATCCATGGATCGCCCTGAGAGTTATTGGCGGTGTCGATGCCTTCAATGCCGCTTTCTCATCCCCTTGGCAGGGAGGGTTGGGAGGTCCTCTTTCCCCTTCATCTCACCGAAACGGGCTGTAGACTGCGAGCGAGACTCGAAATCACGTGGCCAATAAGTTGGGGCAATGTTGTGCTCTCTCCGTTTCTCTCCCCTGCTCTGGCTCCAGGATAAGACGTTGCTTTTACTCTAGACCTCGTGAGCGCGTGTAGTTCCTTGCCAGCAAAAACGTGAGTATTCTTTTTTAGGGTAAGTTTTCCTGTGACCGCAGGAATCGACCGCGATCAGTACGGACAGATGAAGGTACTGGACGGAGAAATCGGAAGATTTTTTTATGTGAAGACAACAACAACTCTCGGCCGGGTTTGCTCCAAGCGACAACTTCCCGATCAGCCCTGCCCCCCTCCTCCCCCTCCGGAACCTGCGTGTCGCAGGTTCAAGGCTGCTGTACAGTTTAACAGGAACACGGCAGAATATGGTGGAGGGATTGCAGTGACTGGTGGCGATGTAACGTGAGTCATCACGGTACACTTGTGCTTGTATTACTCCGTGATCGGAAACAAAATATCTCTTTGCTCAGGGATTGACGATGATTTGTACCGTCGCCACTAATTAGAACGGCTGCTCTCTGCGTCTTTAATCTTACCCCGTACTAGCAAGAACATACCCCGCCTTCCCATCATCTACTCTTGTTGGGGGACCCGTGTGATGCTTACCCTCCCCCCCCCCCCCCCCCCGGTGGTGGCGGCGCGGCGGCAGGTTCAACAAGGGCGTAACATTCGACGGCAACGCAGCGGAGGATACCGGTACGAACGATAAAGCATCCAACAATTTCTCCACGAATAAGACCACTGAACTCGCGGACACGGACATGGAATATTGAACCCACGCTGAACAGTGGCGGATGCCCGGTACAAGGCAGACACAGTATGTTGCCTTATCCAGGGAAATATACTGGGCCTATAGTAGATTTTCATCTTGCAGTCAACCCTGCCTTCATTCCCCTTTGATGATTTGCTTTACTGTCTCTCGCACTCCAGAATGAAAAGGGCGTGAAAATGTAGAGAGCGCCAACCGCAAGCGTGTTTGTGTCGAGGCGTTCCGGCGGTGTGTACCGACATCGAAAAACACCCACCAAATCCTCGAATCTACGCGTGTACCACGCCCATCTTATGCCTCGCTCAACCGAGACGCTTTCTCTCGATTGCTTTTTGAAGGGGGCGCGATGGCGGTGACCGGCGACGGGTCCGTGACCTTCGAGAAGCCGGAGGTGGTGAGGATCTCGGACAACACTCTGCTGGCCAACGAATACAACGTGAGCACGCTACTACGCTAGGGTTGCTTGTGAGTCCTGTGGGTCTTGCTCTGCTTCTCGTCCGACAAGCCGGGATGATGAAATGCAGGCCAATACCCGTTCGGGAACTTTGCTACACACGTGGTGCACTCCTCTAGGACTATTTTTTTAGCACAAAACGATGGTACTGGGGATAACAAGCACGACGCATATCTGTTTTTGTGCGTGGTAGTTGTACTAGAATAGAAACACAGGTGTGACACAGGTGTGGGGTGTTTTAGGTGGTGCTGAACAGAAGTCGACACGTGTGGCAGTTGCGAACCATCTTTTGGCAATCCAGATGAGCATCCCCATCTCCCGCCACCGTTCACACTACCATGATGCGCACACACCGATGGTACGATTCGCCGGCTCGATCGCATGTCCTGCTTGTTCCTTCGCTTTCAATCTATATGGTCCTCGGCCATCATGGTGTGGCCGCCTTGTCGTCATCATCACCACTAGCCGGACCCGATCACGGGGTGCTCGCTCGCGTACGTGGAGGGCAACGAGACTACCGTCGTGGGCTTCGACTTCGACGACATCTGCCAGGAGGTTACAGTCTGATGAACGCGAGAGGGACACAAGCTTGGTTTAAGTCGACCGCCTACGGAAGCTACGAACCAACGTAAAGTCGTCGTACGTCGTGTACGCAAAAGCATAAGGGAGAGACACGTGTAAACATAGATGTGGCGAAAATAAAGGGAATCGCGCGTGATAGCACCCACGTGTGCGTATTTGACTTCGTTCCTCACACGCTCCTTCACTCCTACGGGAGAAGGATAGAACTGTTGTTGTTTTGCGACTTCGTAGGCGAAGCGCGAAGTGGGAAGGTCTAGAGTACACCGGCAAGTGTTGGCTGTAAGTATGTCTGTAAACCAACAGTCTCAGAAACAAACCGGCATTGTCAGCCATGTCTGTACAGCAAGGTCGTAGAGGTACGCGTACGTAGTAGCCCGCACGTACGTGCCGCGTTTGGTGGTAACTGCTGTGCAGGAGTACGCATTTCACCGAACGAAGTTCATGCACAGAAATGAACTTAACACTGTAACGTATTTCAAAGTTTCGCTGTCCCTTTGCTGCAGGTTTGTTTTTCTTCTGGTATTACATGTAGTCCTTGCCGTGTCTTTTGCAACCAAAAGCAGACACTCTGACATATCTTCGTCGACGCCATTGTGAAAAGAGGGAATCGTCCGCGACAGACATTGGGGAGATAGTACCTTTATGAAGGTGGTCTCCACATTGCCGTGTTTTGGTGCCTCTACAAGCAAGAAGCGTGGTTGTAGGCGGGTTGTGTGCCGGTAAAGAAAGTTAAAATATGAAAAGTTACTCGCAGCAGTTCCGACGGGCGTCTCATTGTTCCGACGACCGGTGTGGAGCCAGCTCTCCCTGCAGCGGAACTCGCGCGAATATGTCGAGCGTGGATGAGCTCACTGCTTGGCGTCGACCCGTTTCCGTCAGACAAGAAGCTAGACTATTTTGCGTCCACGAAACTGAAAAAAAAAAACACGAGTTCATTGCCACGTTGGTGTGTAGTTCTAGCCAGTAGGTAACCACCGAGCACCCTGCTCTGCAGCGTATGTTGTCTTCGCATGAAAAATCGTTCCGGTCTCTACCATGCTAAGAATTACCCGTAATGGTCCAACGGACTCGCAGGCGCCTTCCTTCCGTGGTCACAGGCCAACTACCCACAAAGGGCACACACAGTACTTCTTACATCAAATGGAAGATAAAAATGGACTCAGAAAATCCTAAAAAATCGCGATAATATGCATTGCAGATCACAGTAGACAGACCGGGAGGTGATCGAACCCGGAGAACGAAAGAATACGGTCTGAGGAAACAGGATAACGAGGCCCCATCCAGCAAAAAAAAAAGGGAGGGCCCTCCATCGCTCCCGCTTGACACGCAATGCCAGGGAAATGTCAAACTACAGCGAATCCCACCACCCTGCATGTCGTATCCAAGCGACGAACGATATGGCGAAGTACATCTAGGCATGAACAAAATGATGCATGCGCGCCACGTGCGTGTGAGTTACAGTAAGTGCATCGTCTGAACTACGATCCAGACCACAGCAACGTGCCATATAAGACCATTAATGCCATTTGAGCCAGTGAACCTGGCGAGGTCACCTGTGGTGGGCCCCGAACCACACGACGACCTTTGAGAATGCCATATGCATACGACCACAAGACCAGCAACCCCTCAAATTGCGACCCCTGGTCCTCCAAACATGACCTGCCACGCATTGGTCCTCCCTGGCCTCGCGTGGTGATAGCACAACTCCGGCTTCTTGCTGCCGCCGGTACCATATTTTGCCACCTTCGTACACCCTTGATGGTCGCACCTCTTCCTGACGACATCGACCATACCTCCCTTCGCGTGCGGAGAGCAGAGCTGCGGCTTCTTGCTGCCGTTTTTACCATACGACTGCCGCTTCGTGCAACCTGGATGGCGGCACCTCATTGTGGACGATATCGACCATACCCAGCTTGGAGTGCTTTGAACAAAACTCTCGCTCTTTGCCGCCGTCTGTACCATATGATGCCCCTATCGTGCACCCTTGATGGCGGCACCTCTTCTTCACGACATTGACCATACCCTGCTGGCTGTGCTGACCACAGAACTCTGCCTTCTTGCTGCCGTCCGTACCAAATGATGCCACCTTCGTGCACCCTGGATGGCCACACCTCTTCCTGATGAGATCGACCATACCCTGCTGGCTGTGCGGAGAGCAGAACCCCCGCTCTTTGCCGCCGTCTGTGCCATATGATGCCCCTTTTGTGCACCCTGGATGGCGGCACCTCTTCTTAACGACATCGACCATGCCCTGCTGGCCGTGCTTCGAACAAAATTCCCGTTTTTTGCTGCCGTCTTTACCGAATGATGCTACCTTCGTGCACTCTGGATGGCCACACCTGATGTTACGGACATTGGTCATGCCTTGCCGGCTGTGCTGAGAACAGAATTCCGGCTTCTTGCTGCCGTCTTTACCGAATGATGCCCCCTTCGTGCACTCTGGATGACCGCACCTCCTGGTGACGACATCGACCATGCCCTGCTGGCTGTGCTGAGAGCAGAACTCCGGGTGCTTGCTGCCATCTTTACCATACGACGGGTGTTTGATGTACCCTGGATGGCCGCACCTCCTGTTCATAGAGACCATGCCTTGCTGGCTGTGCTGAGAGCAGAACTCCGCCTTCTTGCTGCCGTCCTTACCATATGACGGTTGTTTCGTGCATCCTGGATGACCGCACCTCCTGGTGACGACATCGACCATGTCCTGCTGGCTGTGCTGAGAGCATAACTCCGCCTTCTTGCTGCCGTCTTTGCCATATGACGGCTGCTTCGTGCATCCTGGATGACCGCACCTCCGGTTGACGATATCGACCATGCCCTGCTGGCTGTGCTTTGAGCAGAACTCCGCCTTCTTGCTGCCGTCTGTACCGTATGATGCCCCCTTCATGCACTCTGGGTGGCCGCACCTCTTGTAGACGATATCGACCATGCCCTGCTGGCTGTGCTGTGAACAGAACTCCGCCTTCTTGCTGCCGTCTTTACCATATGACGGCTGCTTCGTGCATCCTGGATGACCGCACCTCCGGTTGACGATATCGACCATGCCCTGCTGGCTGGGCTGAGAAGTGAACTCCGGCTTCATGCCGTGGTTTCCATATGAAGGTTGCTTCATGCAGCCCGGATGGCCGCACCTCTTGTTGACGACGTTGATCATCCCTGGTTTGGAGTGCTTTGAGCAGAACTCCGCCTTCTTGTTGCGGCCATCGCCGTACGATGGCCACGTTGTGCAGCCGTCCTCCTAGCAGTACCGTTGTCTCTGCCCACGGTGTCCGGCAATGGTACGCGTTGACAAAAGGAACATTATGGTTCAAAATATGATCGTGCAGAACGCAAAGTTCGGCGTTTAACGGGCCATTTTCACAGGCAGTAACATGCAAGCGACATCGGGCAAGAGCCAGAGACAATTCAATAAATGACACAACACCGCAAAAATGGCATTCCTGCCCCCGGTTAACCCTTTTGGGTCTACAGGCGTCCTGACAGATAATTGATTGATAAGTTGCAAACGCTGGTGTTGTGGCATGCCATGGAGCCGCCCTGTATCCCTCCACGCTAGGTGTTGGCAAGTCATAGGCAGGTGTGTCTTTATTATTCGCATCGACCGCGCTACCCGGTGACCAATGAAAAGACGTTACAGTGCCAGCGGGAATATCAAGGTCCCTGGAACGGCCAAAATTCGAAAAATGCACACTTCTCTAAATGCGAATGCCACCATGAATCTCTCCCCATATCCTTTCATAGAGACACACATCAATAGTTCCACATGCATGCCCTCGCCCGAAGCTAGGAAGCCACTAAAGCAAAGACAGGAGGACAGCGAAAAGGGGCACTTCAAGCCCAACCAGGCCAGGATATCGTGGTATGCTGCATGTCCTCCAAATTTGGGAATGGTACACTCCAAGATCCAGCAGTCATCATGCCAGCAGCTATTATACTACACAGCAGCAGCAGCAGCAGTATAGACGAGTCCAACATACAGCAGACTCTAGTAACACATACACTGTCAGCAAAGCCCCACACATACCCTCGCCCGAACCTAGAGAGCCACTGTATCAAAGGTAGGTGTGTGCTGGTGTGTGCTTGCGTGCTTGTGGGAATTGTGGGAAAATCACAGGAGCTGTAGTGAGCCGGCAGGGCTCACATTGGGGAGGGGACAGAGAAGTACAGAATACAAGAACAAGCTATGGGTCTACAAGCCCTCTCACTGATCGTTTTCACTGATGATTTGAATATACTGAAAACAGAGTAGTTTAGGTGGCTTGACGACTGATCTTTTCGAGGTCTACAAGCCTAACCTGCGCTACCGGCCGCACCGCGACCACGCATCAACCCTTCTATGACCCTGTCTGTGCCCACCGTCTTGTCGCGGGCAGCCCTCATGGCCTACGGGTGGAGAGCTGTTGCGTCTACAGAAGTACAATCGTCTCTTTTTGCTGTACTTCTGTCTCTCTCCCCGCACTCTCTCCTCCCCTTCTTTTTTTTGCCGCAAAAAAGAAAAAGAGCTAGACCTAAAGGGGTTAAGGTTGTTCAGTCTTGCCCACGCTGTGCTCTTTCCACGTTCGTGGGGGACAGCATCAGTTGCAGTTACTAGGTTGCCTCTCACGCGAGAACGGCAGTCAAAGCCTTTCATGGGTTGCCTTCGTCTTCAACTAACTGCCGTGGGTCTGTTCGATTGCCGCTTCAAGCGCGTCTTCCTCCAGAACACGCTGACGTTTCGTTTCTAACCGCCGAACGTTTCCGACGTTTCCGACGATTCTACACCCTCCTGGAAAAACGGTCTACATTGAATTGTGGGAGGCCCTGCCTCACTTCTTCAACGCCGCTGGGAATATACATCCTGTTCCCCTTTACAAAGATGGAGTAGGTGCGAAGCGATTGGGTGTATTTGAGGCTGCTAGCTACTAGCAGGTGAGAGCGCTGATGAACGGGTGCCTAGCTAATCGACCCTACCCCACTAAAACCAATCACCAGGTGTGATGGAAAGTAGTAAAAGTACAAAGAGTGAAGTGTTTAACAAATCCTATACAAGGCTTGCACGGGTCTACCCCGTAGTCATGATTTCTAGAAAACGACCGCGTGAAGAAAAACACTTCCACTCACCGGCTTGTATGGTGTCGCTGTCCCATCGCCCCAGCATTGTTGCGCTGTTACTCGTGCGGAGGACTTCCCTGCCCTAGAAAGCAATACTACCCGTTCCATATGTCGTTCTCTCCCCAGAAATCGCCTTCTGCTCCAACCAGAGGACAACCATATGCATACAATAATCTTTCAGCTAAAAATACCAGATGGTAGGCGAAATCCGAGACACACCCCATTTTTGAACACACCAAGGTTGACACGCCGACTGCAGCAAAACATGCACGCAGCATTCCCGAAGAGGCACGGGTGGTGTGAGGTGCCAGAGAGAGGGAGAGTAGATACCCACAAGAATCATCATAAAACGGGGCGCGTGAAGGCCCAATAGCTGCGGCGGTTGGCATGTCCGTGACTGCTGTTTCAGGGAAGCGAAGACCTTTTCAAACGATCAAACACTTTCCAACAAACAAGTGCAACGCACAACACCCTGAAGCCAAGCATGTCACCCTACAACCTCTCCTTGCTGGCGATGGCAAGATTGGTGCAGTTTTTGTGAAGCAACGGTCAAATGCTATTGAAAGACGTGGGATGCGTGATTGTGGGGTTTTGTATGTGTTACGCCGAATTCAGGAACATGATTCGTTTGGTATGTGTACCTGTTCACTCTCTCTCTCGGCCACCACGCACCCACCGACTTCTCTTCTGGCATGCTCGTTGCATATTCTGTCGCAGTCGGCCTGTCAATCAGGAGTGCGTCTCGGATTTCGGTTGCCATCTTTTGATTGGAGCTGGAAGACTACCATTTGGGTTTTGAGGTCCTTTGGTGGGAGAAGAATTTGATTTCTGAGGAGAAAACGGCAGACCGGAGGGTCTTATTTCCCGTCCGGGAAGGGAATATTTCAGAAAATGAGGGTACCATTGCAGCTAAAAATCGCCACGGAGGGTAGACTATATACCCCAGGAGGTTTGTGCGGCAGGTGCGGGGGGGGAGTCGGCATCGGCCAACAAGCTGGGCTCATTTCACGCTGAAGCGTACCCGGCTAAAGTCACTCTCTGACCAGGGTATTGAGTCGTATACCCAACACGACACAGTTAAATCACCCGCGCGCGTGGCTGCAGCACTCTATATTAAAAAACTGTGGAACATACGCGAGACGTCGGGTTTTCCGCATCGTGCACCGTTTCCCGGCTGATCAGTTCCAAGATGTCAGTACTCGCTGGAATAAAACCCCTGCAGCTCCTCAACGAAAATACAATCGTTAGAGGGATTTCTACCCTGCGTGCTCCGCTGACGGCGTGTGTGAGCCACGGACAAAAACATCACACACCCAGGAGTACGGACATCTACCATGAGACCACCACAGGGTAAACCATGACACTGGGCTTGTACAGCAAAGGCAGGCTTCGGTTGCATCTCGGTGTGCGTGTGTTCGAGATGCAATTGAGTGCGTTTCGCGTCGTGCTCCGAGATGTCGGCATCACGGGTTCCCTCTGATCTAAGCGAACGTCGATACAACAGTCTAGACGCTGGGGGTGTGATATCACGGGTGTTATGATAAGATGGGGTGTGAAAATGTCACCCGTGGGATGAATTGAGCCCACATGATCCCACTTGCAGGGGGTATGATAACAAAGGGGTGTGAAAAAAGATGAGGTGTGATAATGTCACCCGTGGGATGAAGTGGGCCCAAACGACCCACGGGAGTGTTAACCATGGGGTGTGATAGCGTGGCACGTACGTGTCATGGGCGGACTACAGCAGCACGGGCGGTGCCAGGCACAGCAGGTGTCACCAATAGGTTCTGCTGCGCGGGCCTCAGCAGCACGGGAGGTGCAAGGCACAGCGGGTGCTGTGGGAGTCTCAGGGGCCACAGACAAATATGACGCAATTGGGCCTGGCGCCGCCGCTGGAGTCTGAATCACTGGAGTCTGAGCCGCGATGCTGGCAGCAGTGTTGCGTGTTTGGTTCATCTCTGAGGTGTTATCGGTCGCCACAGCTTTTGCGTCGTCTTTGTGCGTAATCACGGCCTACTGCACCGGGGCTTCGTGGATATATGTTTGCAGCTCAACTTAAGGGGTGTGGTATCCTTTGTGACCGTGTGATATATCGGTGCTTACTCCCAAGTTAAAAACACAACGTCACACGGGTTATGGTTTTCTGTATATTTATATTGGGGGTGTGGTATATTGTGTTTCCTACGGTGCATTAGATCTGGTCTTCTGGAGGAGGGGGGGGGAGTTGACACTGGCCCAGGGAAAACAACAGGTGAAACACACAGCAGGAAATGCCCTGGTCAAATAGTGCCTCAGCGGGCCAATACGTGTGATCAGCCTGGAATGAACCCAAGCAGAGCTGATTGGTCGACGCCCACTTTCACCCTGCCGTGTCGCACAAAAGCCCGGGGTACATCCAACCGTGACTTTTTCTCGTTTGTTCACGTCTGTGGTACCGCCCTGACGAGATATGGGCTTTCCATTGACCATTTTCGACCCAGAAATCGCTCCAAACGACACCGAAACACTAATCGTCGAGCTCCAACAAACACGTGATGGCAATCGAAATGCCGAAATCGAGAGACACGCTCCATTGTTGCATACGGCATCGTTGAACACAGCGTGGTTGACATGCCGACTGACGCAGAACATTCATGACGCATCCCAAAAGAGCACTGGGTAGAGGTGTGATGGCAGAGAGAGGGAGAGAAAAGACGCACACGTCATAAAGGAATCACCGTGAAAAGGAGAGAGTGAGGGGGGAATAGCTACGGCGGTAGAGGTCTCCGCGAATTCTACGCCATGGCAGTGAAGGCTGGTCAAACATTTTCAACCTGACAGCTGCAATACAAATAGCCAGGCTGCTGGAACGAAGGCCGCCGGAAGCCAAACGCGTCCACAAACAACTTTTCTGGTGATCGATGGATTTTCGTAGGTTGTGTGAATCAAGCATGTGCGTTGGAATGGGTCAGTGCAGGAATTGTGTCGTGTGTCTTCCGCCAAAATCATCCCATGATGATTCATTTGGTGTGTATGTCTCTCCGCCCACTTTCTCGGCCACTACACATCCACCCATCGCTCTTCTGCAAGCCATGCATGTTCTGTTTCAGTCGATGTGTCCGTTAAACCGCGGATTGTGTCTCGGATTTGGGTTACCATCATTTGGGTTGCCATCATTTGTTTGGAGCTGGAAGATTCGTCTTTGGTATCCTTTGGTTAGAGCAGAACGTGCTTTCTGCTAAAATTATGGCAAACGAAAGGATCGAATTTTCTTGACAGGGCAGGGGACGCTTCTTCAACAACATCAGGGTACACTTGCCGAGAAAAAGTGCCGCGCCAGGTTATACCCTCTGCGGCGCTCTATTGGTGAGGCATTCCCTGACCGAGTGCGTGACACAAATACCTCACGCATGACACCCAGAGCATAACCCATGATACTGGGGTCGTATAGCTGCGGCAGGCTTCGGTTTGGTGTTCCGCGGTATTATTGTGTGTGTGCGCGCTGTTAGCGAAAATAAGCTTGAAGTATGCTGCTGCGGGATGGAATGGACCGTGCTCCGTATCGTGTTCCGAGATGCCGGCAGAGTATTGCTGACTGAAAGGAATCGCGGATCCCCTCTGATCTCACGTAAACGTCGATACTGCAGTTTATTTAGGCGTTAGACAGGGGTGGCTCGGAAATAAACTGAAATCAACACCGCGGGAAAAACGTGCCAACTAGCGGGACCGTAGACCTTGGGACACGAAGTGATACTGGTATAGGAGCGAAGACAAGAAAGACCTTCAAATCCTTAAGAATCACAGCCACACGCTGTTAATCACAGCATCGCACGCGATATCTGTACTCGAACACCGGCATTTCGCACTCGATATCACCTTTCAGCACTGTCGGATAGTCGGTTGCCGCTGGTCCACGCGCTGTGCCGCTGGAGGGCCTGGGCCATGCCCCGGAGCTTGCGCTTGCGCTTGCCTGGCCTTGCCTGCAGCGGGTTATTCGATAACCGAGAAGAATGGGTCCCGTTGATGCCACAAGCACTGTCTCCACTCAAAAGGCAATATTTGGGGCTACAGTACATACGAGATTCAACACACATAAACAACGATCATTATCCAGTCGTCCGTGGTATCTGACCACAAAAAGATGGGCATCATAGCACCGCTTGTTGGTGCGGAAGCGGCAAAGACTACTACTTCGAGAAACCCACAATATATCTAAACTAACTGAGGGAGTGTCCCCCATGACGTGTATTGGCTTGATTGGAATGGGTATACCCCAACCCGTCTGTGTGCGAAAGTTGACCATCATTTTGTCGAGAATAGCGGCCATCTTCAACGAAGGCCGTACGGACCATGCTGCAACGTTCACCGAGCATCAGCAGCTGAGCGAAAAACACGTGATCTGTTACCGGAAACTAGCTTACCCTCTCTTCGTGGTCTTCCTCCTGCTCGTGCTCCTGCTCCTCGTCCTTCACCAGGCTACCATCTATCCCAGGAGTGGTGTGTTGATGCCGTCCAACAAAACACGGTCACCGGGTGGTGTGCAACAACAGAAGGTGAAAAAGCAACACCGAAAATTCTGCAAGTTGGCAGTGAGGAGACAAAGGGATATCTACTTCATGGTACCAAATGAGCATCCAAAAACCCCCATGGGTTTCAACGCTTCTCTTGCTGTGTGCTGCCTCCAAACAGTCTCGACAGGATCAACTGCTGTGCTGACCTGGATCAGCAAATCCTTGCGATGGCAAAGTTGATAGTGAGAATGGGAGGGAGCCGAAAACGATCTATGCCAAACACAACGCCACCTTCTGACGGTAAAGAAAAAGGTGATGGGGGTAGAATTCTTCCGGCAAACAGACGCCAACGGACAGAGAAGTCAACACGAAGAACATCAGATGTCGTTGCGTGTTTGCAAAGCGACGTCGTGGAGGCGACAAGCAGGCACGCGGCCCAATCCATCGGTAGGGGCCAGATACGGGGGGGAACTGCCGAGTTTCCGGCAAGACGTGGGGCCGGATAGCCCATCGTTCGCAGTGAGTGGCACGCAAGGTTTACCTTGGCTGCCACAGCACAATCACCAATCTCGGCTTCCAAACCAGCAGAAGACATCGAACCTGTGTGCAACATGGACA